CAGCAAGGCCGCCGCCGTCGTGTGCCGCCAGCTGGGCTTTGCGCACGTCGTGCGGGCCACCAAGCGCGCCGAGTTCGGCGAGGGCCGGGCGCTGCCCATCCTGCTGGACGACGTGCGCTGCGAGGGCGGCGAGCGCAACCTGCTGGAGTGCACGCACGCCGGCGTGGGCACGCACAACTGCGACCACCAGGAGGACGCGGGCGTCGTGTGCAGCCGCGAGGACCCCAACCTGTAGCCGAGCGTCCTCCCTCCCGCCGGAGCCTGCCGGGGCCCTCCGCCCTCTGCGCGCCTGGCGCGTGCACGCGAGTCCGAAGGTGGAGGAAGCCGTGGGGTGTGGCGGCGGAGGTGGCCTGTCCGCAACGCTGTCCTGTGGACCCGAGTGAGGTGTGTGCAGTGCATGTGTGTCCTCTGCAGGCGGGAAGCCACAGCGCGTGTTTGGGTCCGAGTGGTCCCTGTGGGTGTGTGGTGGTGGCCCAAGGTGTGCACTTCTTACCTTGAGCATCCCACCCAGCAGCAGGAACACAGTCTGGCGGTGGAACCCTGAGCACTGAGGGCAGCCACCCTTCAAGGGCAAATGTGGCCCCTGGATGCATTAACAGAGGCACAGCAGGCAGACTGAGGCAGGGGACCAGGCCTGCCCTGCCCACGGCTGGAGTGAAGGCCCCAGAGCAGCTAAGAAATGCATGGCCTCAGCGTGGCCTGGCAGTTAGAGGTACTGAGGAGAACAGGAAGACATCCAGTGGGGAAAAGGAAGCCGCCAGACCAATGGGTCCGTGGTGACCCTAGGCCATGGATGCCGGAGTGAGGGTCAGGCTGCCTGGGGAGGGCTGGCTGAGGGGCACTGGATGACCTCTGGGAGAAGCCTCCTGGTCATCTTGGACCGCATCATCATGCTGGGCCCATATGGGTGCTCTGGGGAGGGTGTTGAGCCCCCCAACCCTGAGGCTTGACTCTCCCCTGCTCTCTGGGCCAGAAGTGCCCCGTGCTTCCACCTGCCCCCTCCAAACACCCAGGCCCCTGGGCTTCTCTACTTTCAAGACTGTGTCAGGGCCACCTCTGTCATCTCCAAACCCACCCCTACTCACTGAAATCCCAGGGGACCCTCTAATTCCTCCAGCCCCACCCCGGGGCCGACCAGGCTGTGGGTCCAGCGAGACTACTGATGCTCTTTCCCCCAGGGCTGTGCCAACAACGTGATTGTTTACAGACCCCTTTCCTGCCTCTTTTCTCTGACCCACGCCTGCCTGGGAGTTGGGGGCGGGGTGCAGGGAGGGGCTGGCAGGGTGGGGACTAGGCCTGCAGCCTCTCTCCTGCTCACAGCTGGAAGTCCCTTTGCCCACTAAGGGCCTCAGGCCTGTCGAGGGGCATCAAGTATGGCTGGGCTCAGGCTCTGATGGGGAGACGGGGAGGGTACGCAGATGGTCACAGGGCAGTGAGGACAGGATATGGCTCATGTTGGGGGGCTGGGAGGGCTCTGAGTGGGGCATCCCCATCCAACCTGTGTGTTGCTCTGAGAGTTGAGCTGGCCCTAGGGGCAGTGTGCCCGGCAGAGAAATGGCCCTGGGGAGCTCTGCCCAGTGAAGCTGAGTGTGGCTGCAGAGGAAAGCTTCAGGGTCACCCTCTCGGACTCCTGCAGCCTCTGCCCTAAGTGGAGTTGGCGAGGGCCCTGGGCCCTTGCGGCCTGTCTGCCCCTGTTGAGACCCCCATGGAAACCACAACTAGCCCTGCCGTTCAGTGGGGCCGATGTGCTGGGCACCGCTGTCAGAGCAGCACAGTGTGCATGAGCCCGTTCAGTTTCCAGAACAGAGGCTCTTCCTGCCCGTCCCCGCCCGTGGAGCTCATTTCAAGGCCTGCAGGCCACGACGCCGAAAGGCGTGCCCCGGGAAGTGGGGCAGAAGTTATATGGGCACCTCCCACTGCACCTCAGCACCCACAGCCTGGGGCCACCATCTGGGGTGCAGCGTCTTCCCCAGTGTGGAGTGGTCCAGGCCTCAGCAGGGCCCTGAGCATCTCTGTTGTTTGATGGGGCGACTGGGAGAAGTCCCAGGCCCCTCCACACCCCGGGGCAGTGCTGGCCCTGGCCTGCCAGTCCTCTGGGCAGGGTGCCCCCCTCTCCAGTCCCCCGACTCATCCCCCCTCCAGCTCCAAACAAGGCTTGGGCTGTGGCCTGACTCCTGAGAAGGAGGTTGAAGCCAACTCACTGCTCCTAAATAGTAATAGTAATAGCTGACATTCGCAGAGCACTTACTGTGTGCTAGGCACCGTTCTAGAAGTTTTACATCTTCACTCCTTTAATTCTCATGATAACTCTATGAGGCAGGTGCCACAGTCGCCCCCACCATTTTACAGATATGAAGCCGAGGCCCAGAGAGGCTTAGTTACTTGTCAGATGTCACACAGCCGATATTTGAAACAGTCTGGCTCTGGAGCCCCAGCTGTGGGCTGTCACACTGTGCTGCCTAAAGAGCATTGAATTCAGTGTCCACCGCCCCCCCATTGGGCCCTGTCGTTTGCAGATGGGGACACAAGCACAGGGAGGGGCAGAGCCGGTGCAGACTCCCTGTCCAGTTCTTCTTCCCCTCCACCACCTGCAGCCGGCTCCAAGGGGGCATTCGCAAGTGACTCTGTCCCGAAGGACTTTGATCCTGCCTTAGAGTCTTCCAGGGTCTCTGGGGATGGGGCTGGCCCAGGCCAAGGCTCCCTCAGCTCCCTACCAGCCTCTGCCTTCACCCGCTCTAATCCGGCCTCCCATTGGCAGCTAGAGGGATCTCTGAGAACCTGACCCCGAGAGGGCGGCCTCTGCCCAGCCCCTGAGCTAAGCTCCTTAAGCTGCTCAGCCCAGCGGCTGAGCTCTGGAGCCCTTGGAGCCCAGTGCTGCAGGATGGCCCAGGTGTGGCCCCGCACCCACGACTGCATCCATGGTGTCACCCTCGGGTGACAACACTCCAGGTCCCTGACTGCGCCTCATTTGTTCCTTGTTCACCTGCATCTCTCTGATAAGCTTTAGCCAGGACAGGGCCCTGGGTGGCCACCTTTCTCCTCTGACAACAGGAAAGGCCCTCTGTCCCTGGCAGCCTTGCCAGCTGCAGTCAGTGGCTAAAGGCATGCAAGCTAGTGGACAACTTCCAGCTCCCCAAGGCACCCCTGGGTTTATGCCTGGCAAAAGCCTGACTGGGAGGTTAGAGACCGGGGTTCCAGCCCTGGCTGTGTGACCTTGGGGAGGTCACATAACCACTTTGAGCCTCATTGGAAAACAGGTAATCAGCAGGATTACTGGAAGAAAAATGAGGTAATATTTGCAGACATGCCCAGCTGGGTCCAAGTTGCTTCCTAGACAGAAAGCTTAATGCTAGGCTGGTGGTGTCCACGATGGCTGCCAGCTGCACAAGACAGGGTGGGGAGCGGCATGCCATGTGGGGAGGGCCCAGCATGAGAATGATCTGGGGATAAATCCTCAAAATGGGAGGAAGATGAGCCCCTTCACGCTAACATGTAGAACCCAAGTCTTCCTGTGGGGGCCTCTGTTCTCTCACCCTCTCTGCTAAGAGCCAGCATTGAGTGAGGACTTATGCATGCCAGGTGCCTCAGGGGTGCCGGCTCATCTAAGCCTCACAGTGGCCCCATAAGGCACCCTTGACATCACCATCCCTCTTTTCCAGGTGAGAGCACAGATCCCCAAGGTGGCTGGTCTTGGGTCCCACGTTCAGAAGGGGAGGCGGCTTTGAGCCACTCAAGTGAGGGCAGCCGCTTCTTCTGAGCCTTCATCTCCCCCAGTGATTCCTGCTGGGAAACCACATCCTGTGTGGCATCGTCTACACCGGTGGTTCTCAAACTTGAGCAGAATCACTTGCGGGGCTGGTTAAAACACAATTTGCTGGGGGCCTATCAGAGTTTTTGAGTCAGTAAGTCTCAGTGGGGCTGAGAATTTGCACTGTCACACCGGTGGGGCTGAGAATCTGCATTGTGACACTGGGCGATGCTGATGGCCTATGGGCCACACTGTGAGAACCATTATCTATACTAGTGCCATCCAATAGAAATATAATATGAGCCACATAGGTAATTTTAAGTTATCTAGTAGTCATGTTAAAAAAGTAAAAAGAAACAAGTGAAATTAATTTCAATAATATATTTTATTTAACCCAACATATTCAAAAATTATCATTTTAACAGTTAATATAAAAATATCAGAGATTTTTTTACATTCTTTTCTTTTGTATTAAATCGATGTAATCTAGTGTGTATTTTGCACACACAGCACACCTCAATTTGGACTAGCCACGTTTCAAGTGTTCGATAGCCACATGTGGCCAGTGGCTACCATATTGGAGAGCATTTGTCCAGACAGTCCCAGGGAAGGGCCAAGTGGTCGGCCATGTGCTTCCAGGCAGCGCCCTCTACTGGTGTCTGGTAGTGCTGCCTGCACAGGGAAAGGGCCTCCGATCTGAGCCTTGGAGTGCCTGCCATCTCATCATTCCCCACCTGATCACAGGACAGCTGGGAGGATCAGAAGAGGTGGCAGTGGTACAGCAGAGGACTTGGTGCCCATTGGGAGAGGACAATGTTGACTCACCCCAGTCAGGGACAGGGGTGCTCTGTTGAAATGCTGGGTTGAGCCATGGTCACGTTGAGCCCGCGGTCACTGGTGTTGACGGATGCACCAGAGAATGTTAATGCCCACTCTTCTCCTTAGCTCTGGTCGGACAGGCTCACTCTCACAATTGCACCGAGGCTGCCCCATGCCCACCTCACGTGGGACCCCAGACGGTGTCCAGAGCAGTTCAGGATCTGGCTCTGCTTTCAAAGAATAATTGTTTGGGGTCCTCCCTCCAAATTGCCCCCAGCCCCTGCAGCAGTCACAGCCCAGGAGGCTGTCTGACCTCCCTGCCTCCCTCTCCCCCAAGCAGGGCCAGTCAGAGGTCCGGTGTGCACGCCTGCGCCTGCCTCTCACCGCCACACAGGGGCACAGTGGCAAGCGAACGTCTCCCAGCTCTACTAGGAGGCGGGTCCAGGTCCCCGAGCCGGGATGGACGTCCAGGCTGAGGTGGCCAGGGGGCAGAAACCCTGTCTCCTCTGTGCTTGGTCCAGGCCTTAAAGCTTGGCCCTCTCTGTCACCCCGAAGCCCACACACCCCTAACAGTCATGTCCCTGTGGGGACTGTTCTTGGCTGTACCTGGGAAAGGGGTACACAGGACTTCTCTGTTTCCCAGTCCCCAAACCTCTCTGGGACTGGCCCTCGGGTTGGGCAGGGGCATTCCTCTTCTCAGACACCCAGCAGCATCTGTCTTTGCACGCCCCTTCCCCTTCCCAGAGGATCTTTATCTGGACTAGGAGTGGGCACGCCTGGCCCTTCCCATCCACTGCTGCCACTCTGGTTGGCCCGAGAGCCCGCCTCTTCTCTCACACTCAGACGGGTAAGGAGAAACAGCTTATGAAACGGAGGGAAGTCGTGGGTATTAGTTCAAAAATACTCCCTGGCCACCCCGAGCACATTTGTCGCTTTCCCTTGAGGGCGAGCTTCCGTATCCAGATTTTCACCCGCTCCGCTCCAACTCCAGCTCCTTGGGGTCAGCGCCTCCGACGGGGCTTCCCCCGGGTCTGGGAGGTTCCAGAGGCGTCCGAGTTCAGCCGTGCGCTCGGATTCAGCCTCGGGTTCAGCCGTGCACTTCATTTGTAGACACAGCCTCCCTGTGTCCCCGGGGCCCTCGTCACCTGCCCCGTGGGCCCCGCTGGGAGACCGCGGGTGCTCGGCGTGGACAGGCCAGGCAGGGGAAACCAGCTTTGGGGCATGGGGATTCCAGAGAGCGCTTTGGGGACAGTGGACATAGTACGAAAATTTGGAGGCTGGGATGAGGTTTCCAGGAAGGTTTTAGGGAGAAAGAAGGGGCCTGGGGCCGCGCGCAGAGAAACGCCGTTATTTGGAGGCGCCAAAGAGGACGGAACCCGCCTCAGACTTAGCGCCGCCGCCAGGCAGCCAGGGCCGAGGAAGCAGGGTTGCTAGGGACAACGCGTTCTGGGCGGAGCTGCTTCTGGGGTGGAGCTTGAGGGCTGAGGGCGGAGCCTGGGGAGGCGGGGAGAGGGCGGAGCCTGAGGGGGTCTGAGCCAGAAGCGGAGTTGTGATTGGTGGATACCGCACGCTCTGGGCGGGGCCTGGCGGGGGCCGTGTTGGGGTTGGGGCGGAGCCTTCGGAGGGGCGGGGCGGAGCGGGGGCGGGCCCTGAGAGCTGGAGCAGGAGGGGGAGACGTGGTTGGCGGGGACCGAGCGCCCTGGGAGGGGTCGTAGCCGGCGGGGGCGGAGCCGAGCGGGCGGGGGCGGCGCTGGGTCGCGCCGGGCCTGGGGCGGAGGCGGCGCGCGGCGCTGACAGCTGAGTCGGCTCGCGGCCTCCCGCCCCCTCGGTGCCCGGCCCCGACCCCGGCCCGGCCTGCCCCGGAGCCATGAGCCCCGGGCTGCTGCTGCTGCTCGGCAGCGCCGTCCTGGTCGCCTTCGGCCTCTGCTGCACCTTCGTGCACCGCGCTCGCAGCCGCTACGAGCACATCCCCGGGCCGCCGAGGCCCAGGTGAGCGGGGGGTGGGGGCGGGGGCCTGGATGGGGCGCTCGAATGGGGGGCCGGGGGACTGCATCCAAGCTGGCGTCGGGGCTGGGGGTCCAGCCTCGCCATTGCGCGCGGCCGCTTGGAGACGGTGGCCGGGAGAGGGGCGCTAACTATTCTTAGTAACAAATTACTCAGCCGCAGCCGCTGCTCGGCGCCCACCGCGCTCTGCTGGGCCCCTCAAACGTGATGGCAGCGACAACCCTGTTAGGTAGGCGCTATTGCTACCCCATCGTTCAGACGAGGAGACTGAGGCGCGCAGAGGCAAAGTCACCTGCCCAAGGTCACACAGTTGGTAAGCCTAGATTTAAACCCAGGTCAGCCTGGCTCTAAAGTGGGCGCTCTTAACTTTGGGACTTGGATGGGGTCACTCAACCTGGACTGGAACACATTGCATTTTGGTCACATTCCCCTTTGTTTGTATTTCTGTCCTGGTACATCCTTTTTGTCTTTTCCTTAGTACTTCCATTCCATCCTTGGCCCCCACCCCCACCCACCCTACCTGCCCATCACCAGCAGCTTACTTTTCTGAGGCTTAAATCAGATGTGTCGTTTCTCTGCTCCAAAGGCTTCCCATCACTTTAGAAGTAAATCTAATTCTAAATTAAGTCCTCTCCATGGCCAGCAAGGCCCCTGCTGAGCTCTCAGCACCCTTTCTGTACTGCTCTCTGCCCCCTGGCTTCCTCTCTGCTGCCCCGTCTTTCCGTACCACCCCCCAGCTGATTCCCTCCTCCAGGGCCTAGCTGTTCCCCATCCACCCTGTGTAAAGCCCACCCAGCCCCAAACTCCTTATGGGACCATCCCCCCTGAAGTTACCATCTTGTCACCTGTTGACTCTCTGTCTCCCCCTTTAGAATGTGAGCCCCTGGAGGGCAGGGATGCTGTGTGTTCACTTGTGTATCCCCAAAGCCTGGCACATTGCAGATGCTCAATAAATGTTTGATGAATGAATGAATAAACAATGGTATTAGACACACTTGTTAAAACCTCAGGACATGAACATTCTGGAAGGCACCCACCTCCAGCACAAGCCAGATGCCCTGGCGTTAGAAGCCTGAATCCCTATTTGGTGGGTTCGGGAAAGATCTCTGTGGCTGAAGACATAGAGGCAACTGTTCTCCCGGCTGGTTCTTTGTCCTCCCAGGTGCCCTCTCCCACCTTGGGGTCTTCCTGATCCCTCTTCCCTTACTTAGCATCTCCATCTTCTGCTTCACCTAGATGATGATTCCCTGCAGCATTCCAGGCTTGGCTTAAATGCCCCCTCCTCAGGGAGGTCCCACCTGCTCCTATCCCTGTATATATTATGTTCATTTTATAAGCTCTAAGTCACCATAATGGTGATTGGGTAATTATTTGTGCAACCTCTTGTTAAGTGTGTGTCTATCCCATAGGCCTGTGTCTGTCTCGTTCACTGCTGTGTCCCCGACCTCTAGCACAGCAGCACCTGGGACATGTGTAGTAGATGCTCAATAAACAGTGATTCAAGGTGGATGCTGGAAATCTCCTACAAGTTCTGTTAGGTACACTGTCACCCTTTCAAAGCTTCAAATCAGCCATCAACAATTGGAATTGAATGAGTTTAGCGCTTGTTCCGACAGGTCCCATCAGGACTTGGCCTTCCTGTAAAACCTGGTGCTTCAAGCCTGCAGACCTGGTCCAGTCTTGGTGTCTTTTGTGTGTGTGTGTGTGAGGAAGATCAGCCCTGATCTAACATCCGTGCCAATCCTCTTCTTTTTGCTGAGGAAGATTGGCCCTGGGCTGACATCCGTGCCCATCTTCCTCCACTTTATGTGGGACGCCGCCACAGCATGGCCTGACAAGGGGTGTGTCGGTGCGCGCCGGGGATCCGAACCCAGGCCACCAGCAGTGGAGCGCACACACTTAACTGCTACACCACAGGGCCGGCCCAGTCTTGGTGTCTTGAGAAGGCAGAACTTAAATCAAGCCCCTCTCCCTACATCTCTTTTTTAAAAATGCATTTAAAAAATAAACTTATGTATGCCATAAGATTTACCCTTTTAAAGTGTCCAATTCAGTGCTTTTTAGTATAGTGATGGAGTTGTGCAACCATCACCACTGGTTCCAGAACATTTTCATCACCCCAACAAGAAATCTCATACCCATTAGCTGTCACTCGTCATCTCCCTCACCCCAGCCCTAGGCAACCACTAATCTGCTTTCTGTCTCTATAGATTTGCCTGTTCTGGACATTTCATGTAAATGGAATCATACAATATGTGGCCTTTTGTGTCTGGCTTCTTTCACTCAGCATAATGTTTTCAAGGACCATCCATGTCGTAGCATGTGTCCATATTTCTTTCCTTTTTATGCCTGAATCCTCCCCCAAATCTTACACCACAGAATCTACATATGACCTACAGGTGTGTGTGGGTGGGTGGAGGAGTGGGAGGAGGCTGAATATAATTATGGTTGGGCTCTTCATTCTGCGGAGGTGAACTGAACGATGCATGTGCAGAAAGATTTTGGATTAAAAATTGGTTGGTCAAATATAAAGCCGCACTAAATGAAAGTTCTGGAACTTCTTCTAGCACAAATCAGATGCTTTGGCGTTCAAAGCCTGGATCCTCAAACCATGATTGGAAACACCTTGGTAGACAGGAAACCCATGTATTGAGTCTCCAGTAATGGCATGTGCCCCTTGGTGCTTCACGGCTTTGCCAGCTTGTAGGCAAGGAACCCTCTGCCCTGCAAGAGGCATCTGCTGTGCTCCCCCACCCCCACCCTTCATCCTCCTTATTCTGCAGGAGTCACCAGGTTGCCCTCCCTGAATGCCACACCTCTATGTTCTTATTAGAGACAACATCCTACGGCAATCGTCCGTGTAGCAGCTGAAAACTCAGACCCCACGTTCAGATCCCACACAGACACTTGTAGCTTCTTTACTCTCTGTCATTGCTCTAAACTTCCTTATCAGCCCTCTCTCTCCTGATAGTGTAGGTTGAATGTAAACTTGACAATGAAAGTCTCTCTCTCCCAGTTTTTATTTTGGAGTAAGGTTTTCAAGTTTGACTCCTGGGCAGTGCTGGTTTTCTCTCCAGCTCCTACTTGCCAAGTTGCTGGATGCTTCCTGGTGGTGGTGGAGACCCATGGCTGGCTCTGTTGGGTGGTGCATCCCATGGACTTTGGGTGCCCAGCTGAGCACTCACCACCCCATCCCTTTGGCATGAGGCACAATCACGGCCCCTCATCCTCACTCCTAGTGGGTGGCCCACCCCTCAGCCATTTTGTGGGCTCCCTTCATCCCTCGGGGTGGCCCCACAGTGGGCACTCCAGATGAGCTCTGCTCATTACTCTCCAAGGCTTTCTCGGCCCACAGGAACCTTGAAAACTGCAGGTGCTGGGGACCCAGCAGGGGAGGGGGACTTTGCCTTCCCCTCTCTCCCTGGGCTGCTCTGCCCTATCCAGGCTACCACCAGGGGCGTGCCAGGTGGGCTTCTGTCCCGCCCTCCCCCCCGACCCAGTATGCTACCATCCCCTCATTCTGTCATCCCTTACCTGCGTATTTCTAACACCTGGTCTTCCCACTCTGCCTTCGGCTTCTCAGCGGCAGCGCCCCCTGCAGGAACTGGAAGGAACAAGTTTTAGTTCCCTTTCCTGCCTGGCAGTGGGGACCCCATGCCACTCCGTGCCCTTGGCCTCCTTGAGGTGTCACTCACCTTTCTCCTCAGGTGGCGGTTGACCCCAGTGGTTAGGGTAGAGGCTCTCAGACAGGCCTGGGAGGATGAGGAGGGTCCAGACTCTGTTCTCACTCAGGTGGCTCAAAACTGAGAACATTCCCCCAAAACGTACAGCTTTGGGGAGTGACCATGGGTACTAGACTGTTCTGGAAATGCAGCCAGTCGTGTGTGAGTCATGTACAGCCCATCTTTCTGCAGGTTGAGTAAGTTCAAGGCCGCTCACCTCGAGGGGGCCTCAGCCGCCTGGTGGCCACACTGCACTTCCCTCCCCAGCATTCGCTCTCCCCCTCTCCCAACAATCTCCCCTTCTCTTTAATCCCCATCACCTCCCCCTCCAACCACACTCTCAGCCTTTATTCTTGCCTCCTACTTCCCGGAGCAAATGGAACAGCCTGAGAGAACTTCCTTCCAGGGCTCTGGCCCACAGCTGCCCCCTTCCCTGCAGGGGCCCATGGGCCCTTCCGGCTGGGACAAGCCCCTGCTGCTCAGCAGGCCTGCCCAGCTGTGCCCCCGCTCTCCTACATCAGCAGTTTTCCTTCTCTTCTGCATCATTCCCATTTTTATATAATGTGCTCTAAAAAAAAAGCAACCCTTCTCTTCCCTCTCTCTTCCTTCCGTCTGCTGCCCCCATCTCTGCACCCCCACAGCAACCCCCCCCCGAGAAGCCTGCCTGTCTTTGGGCTCCCGTTCCTCCCTCCCGTTCTCTCTTGAACCCACCACCCCGTCGGGCTCGGGCCCCCACCTCTCCTCCCAACCTGCTTTGGTCAAGGTCCCCGTGACCTCCAGGGAGCTGAGCTCCTTGGTCAGCCCTTGGTCACCATCTTACCCGGCCCCCTCCCTCCTCCTTGTCCTGCTGTCTTCACAGGCTTCCCCCTCCACTCTCCCGGCTCTCCTCCAGCCACCCCGGCGTCTCCTGCTCACTCTCCTTGGTCTAATCCAGTCACTGGATTAAATGCCACCTCTCTGCTGAGGACTTTCGTGTTGACATCTCTGGCTGGAGCCCTCCCCTGAACCCCAGCTTCAAGTATCTACCTGCCTGCTCCCCTTCCGTGTTAAATGGGCACCAAAAACCCAACAGGCCCAACAGGCCCAAAGCCAAGCTCCTGATTTAATTTGCTTGTCTCAGGTTGGACCCCAGAAGCCGGTCCTGAGACAAGAATTGAAGAGTAGTAGTTTATGGGTGTGACCCCGTGGGGTTGGGGATTGGAGAGAGAGAGAAGGTTAGAAAGGCAATCAAGCAAGTTTCCTCTGGGCAACTGAGTGCACGGCCCCCCCACCTCCAGGGAACTCTGGGACCGTGTGGAGCACATGCCCTGAGCTACCCAGCGGAGGAGCAGCTGGGGTCATTGGAGGGCTGCTCTGGGGGTGTGGGGCTGGAACTTCCCGCCTGCCCCTCCTGCGGCAGAGCAGAGAGCGCTGGGCAGCGTCTCGCATGCTGGCCTTTGGAGGTGTGCCCCCCCTGCACGGACAAGGACGGTGTCTGCTGCCCCCAGCAAGCCCCTTCTCGGTGCTCCTTGTCTTAGTAACTACCAGCTTCTTCCATCCTTCCAGCGGCTGAGGCCGAAAGCCCCAGGGTCGTCCTTGACACCTCTCACGCCCACCTTTGAACCTGCAGCAGGTCTGCTTGGCTCCACCTACAACATACATCCAGCATCTGACTTCTTCTCACCTCCGCTGGTCTGAGCCCCCATCACCTCTCACAGCTCCCTCAGTGGTGCCCCTGCCCCGAACCCACCCCGTTTACTCTCAGCATCATGACAATGAGAATGATCCATTTAAAACCCAAGTCAGATCCCATGTCTGCTCTGCTCCAAACCCTCCAGTGGCCCCCACTTCGTTGAGGTCAAAGCAAAAGTTTGGACAACAGCCCACAAGGCTTTACACGATCTGCCCCCACCTTGGTGACCCCATCCTATACCACGCTCCCCTCAAGCACTCTGCTACAGCCACACTGCCTTCTTGCTGTTCCTTGAACTTACCAAGCACATTCCCACCTCAGGACATTTGCACCTGCCATTCCCTCTGCCTGGAAGGCTCTTCCCCCAGATACCTGTGTGGCCTCGTCCCTTGCTTCCTGCAGCTCACATGTCACCTTCCTAGAGGAACATTCCCTGACCTGCTTGTATCAAATAGCCTCCATTCCCATCCCTGATCTTCTTACCCATCCCCCACTCTGATTTTTCTCCCATCACTCTCTGGCTTCATATTTATTTACTTATTTATCTACTCTCTGTCTCTCCTGGGAGAATATGAGTTTACTGATCCAGAAAATCTCAAGTGCAGTTTGTTGTCACCCATTCTGGATGCTGTAGTAAGTGAAGTGGAATGGAATAAAGTCATACAGGAGACAGAAGGTCATAAGTGCCCAGGGCGACACCCAGACAGGCCTGTTTCCAATCTGGTGCTCACAGCGCAGACTTAACATGACCAAACCATCTCCCCTGGTGAGAAGGACTGCGGGCACCCTGGTACCCGCTACACAGTGTGGGCCGGCCTCTGTTAATATTATATACACAGGGCTAATAACAGACCTACCTCAGGGCACTGTCGGTTGGGGTGAGGCTTAGCTGGGGGCCCAGCGACAGTGAATGTTTAGTGAATGTCTCAGGGTAATTCTGTGCAATATTATTGAGCCCTGTCCACGTGCCGGCCCTGACCTCCGCACCAGGGAGCCAGAGAAGAATAAACAATCTCCTCTCCAAGGAGGCCCCTGGAGCCAGGCAGACCTGGGTTTGCATCCTGCCTGGTGACCCTGAGCCAGTGCCGTCCCCTCCCCGTGCCTCAGTCCTCCCATCTGTGAAGGGGCCCAGTAACGCCAACCTCATGGGTCCTGTGGGGAAGGGAGCACTCTTCAGTAGTGACTTCCAGTGATCTTAATGTTTCCCGTTTCTTCTAGTTTCCTTCTGGGACACCTCCCCTACTTTTGGAAAAAGGACGAGGTTTGTGGCCGCGTGCTCCAAGATGTGTTTTTGGATTGGTGGGTCCTAACTTGTCATTTGTCGCCCTTCCCCAGTCCAGGTCCCTCACTGGGCAGCTCCCCACCCCCTGGTCCAGCACACACTCCCCACTCCCTGCCCAGGTCACTCCCATCCCCAGCAGTTCCTCCTGGAGAGGCAGACGCTTGACCTTAGACCAGCTGTCAGAAGGTCTCTGAGCCTCAGTTTCCTCATCTGTAAACTGGCCGGGGGTGACTAGACAACAGTCACTGTTTGGGGCAGTGCTTTACACCTTTCAAAGCATTTTCAAAGCTATGATATCGCCTGATGCCCAGCATGACCTTTTGGGGCAAAGGAGGCGTGTAGCAACCTTATTTCATGGATGTGGAAACTGAGGCCCAGTGGGGGACATGCCCCAGTAGTGAGTCAGCAGCAGGGCAGAGCATTGGCCCCCAGCCGTGTTGAGCCCCCTCCTGGGATGGGACCCCCTGTTCCTGCCGCTGCACCTGGGCTGATGATACTCACGTGGCTGCTGGTTGAGTGCATCCTTCGGTCCCTTTGGTTTCCAGGGCTAAGAAGTATGGACCCGTCGTGCGGGTCAACGTCTTCCACAAAACCTCAGTCATCATCACGAGCCCCGAGTCAGTGAAGGTAAGAAGCAGAGTGGTTTCACTGGGGAGAGCCCTCCCCTTTCCTGGAGTGGGCCGTGAAACTCAGCCCCAGGGACTGTGGGAGAGATGTTCCCGAGTCACGGCATTTGGGCTGGTTTCCCAAGGATCCAGAAGGGAATGGCATCTTTCTCTCTAACCACCCACCGTTTGGGGGGCTGTACAAGCAGGGCAGTTCGATGTGGGCAGTGAGGGGGGACTTTGCTATCAGAACCATTGGGTTGGGAGTTCTGCCCAGCTGGCGCACACACGTGTAGCTAGTTCACCTCTCTTAGCCTCAGTTTCTTCATCTGAGAAGTGGGATTATAACCCCTCTCTCTCAGGGTTATGATGAGAATTAAATATTGTTCAATTTATTTAACGAAGTGTCAAAAGATACTTAAACAGTGTTTACTGTGGGCCATGCGCTTTTCCATGTATTCCACAATTATTAACCCATTTCATCCTCATAGGGGTAGGGGCTCTTATGAGTCCCCATTTTAGAGATGAGGAAACTGAGACAGGCTGCATTAACTGGTCTGTAATGTGTGCAGGACAGTGTCTGCCATGTAGGTACTAAGAATGGCCATCAGAACATCTACTTTAGAGTTGCCAGAATTGGGCTCAAATCTGGGCTCTGCCACCAACTGACTGTGGGACCTTGGACAAGTTTCTTCACCACTCTGGGCCTCAGTTTTCTCATCTGTAAAATAGGGATGATGCCTCTCTTACAGATGGGTGTAAGAATGGAGCTGAAATAATGTCTGTGAGCCATCTAGCCCAGGCCCGGCACACGGCAGTTGCTCAATAAATGATGGTGCAATTATTCTCACTCAGCTGATGGGTACTCAGCTGATGTGTGGGGGTGATTCTCTGCATGGAGGGTGGCTGTGGTGACACTAAGTGGGGTAAAATACAACTTAGTGTCCAGATCAGGAGACAAATTGAACAACCATGTTGTCTCTAACAGGTTGTTAAAAATCATTTTTTTTAAGTTTAATTTCAAATACAGACATAGTTTAAGACTTTTTGAAGCATGCCACCAAAAAAGCATGCACAAAGACCTTCATGATGCTCAATGAGAAAAGAAGTTGAAGGATATGTATTAACATGATGAATTACATTAATATTCAAGTGTTAAACCGACCTTGCATTCCTGGTCATAATACAGTTCTCTCATGGATACATAGGTACATGAATACAATTTGCTCATCTTTTGTTAAGGATTTTTATTTCTGTATTTATTCTTTTCCTATAATGCCTTTGTCTGGTTTTAGTATCAGGTTAATAGGCCTCATAAGATGAGTTGGGAAATGTTCCCTTTCTTCTATTTTCTGAAAGAATTTGTATAGGAGTGGTGTTATTTCTTCCTTTAATATTTGATAGAATTCACCAGTGAAACCGTCTGGGCCTGGCATTTTCTTTGAAGGAAGTGTTTTTTGTTTTGTTTTAATTACACATTCGATTTCTTTAATCGATAGATAGCCATTCAGATTTTCTATTTTTTTCTTCAGTTTGTTAATTTGTGTCTTTCAAGGAATTTATCCGTTTCATCTAAATTGTTGAAATTATTGGTATCAAGTTGTCCACAATATTTATTATCTTTTTAATGTCTACTGGATCTGTGGTGATGTCCTTTCTTTCATTCCTGAAGATAGTAATTTGGATTTTCTCTTATTTTCTTGATCAGCCTAGCAAGAGGTTTATAAATTTTATTCATCTTTTCGAAGACCCAGCTTTTGGTTTCATTGGTTTTCTGTTTGTCCATTTTCTGTTTTATGATTTGCGCTCTTCAATATCCTTCCTATATTCACTTTGGGTTTAATTTGTCTTTGTCCTAATTTTTTAAGGTGAGAGTTTAGACAATTGATTTTAGACTTTGTGTCTTTTCTAATATAAGCATTTAAAGCTATATATTTCCCTGTAAGCACTGTTGTTGTTAGTGCCATCCAGTCAATTCTGACTCTTACTGCCCCTGTGTCCAGCAGAGCGGAACCCTGCCCAGTCTTTTTGTGCCATCCTCTTCTCGTCCAGCGCTGTATCAGACAATGCTCTGCTGCTGTTCATGGGGTTTTCATGGCCAGTGTTTTCAGAAGTAGGTAGCTGGGTCCTTCTTCCTAGTCTGTCTTAGTCTGGAAACTCCACTGAAACCTGTCCACCATGGGGGACCCTGCTGGTATTTGAAATCCCAGTGGCACAGCTTCCAGCATCACAGCAACACGCAGCCACCACAGTATGACAACCGACAGATGGGTGATGTGGGTCCCTGACTGGGAGACAAGCCCAGGCCGCAGCAGTGAGAGGGCTGACTCTTAACTGCTAGACCACCAGGGTTGGCTCTGTAGCACTACTTGAGCACAAATTTACCACAAATTTCGATATGTTGTGCTTTTATTTTCATTCAGTTCAAAATATTTTCTAACTTTCCTTGTGATTTCTTCTTTGAACCATGGATTATTTAGATGTGTGTTATTCAACATACATTCAAAATATTCTAAATATTGTGGGATTTTCCAGATATTTTTCTGTTATTGGTTTCTAATTTAATTATGTAAGGTCAGAGAAAATACTCTTCATAATTTCAATCCTTTTAAATTCATTGAAGCTTGTTTTATGACCTAGCATTTGGTCTATCTTTGTGAATGTTCATGAGCACTTAAAAAGAATGTATGTTCTGTAATTTTTGAATGGAGTGTTCTAGAAATGTCGGTTAGGTCAAGTTGATTGACAGTGTCATTCAACTCTTCTAAATCCTTACTGACTTTCTGTCTACTTGTTCTAGCAATTGCTGGGAGAGGGATGTTGAATTCTCCAACCACAATCTTGGATTTTTCTATTTCTACTTTCAGTTCTATCAATTTTGCTTTGTGTATTTTGAAGTTCTACTATTACATGTGTACCATATAGGATTGTTAGGTCTTTGTGATGAAATGATCCCTTTATCTTTAGAAATGTCCCCTTTATCCCCGGTAATATTCCATTTCCTAAAGTGTATTTCGTCTGGTATTATGTAGCCACTCCAGCTGTCTTACGCTTAACTGTCGTAAGCATTAAACTTAACGCTTAACGTATGATGCAATGCATCATACGTTGCATGATGTATCTTCTCTATCCTTTTGCTTTTAAACTATCTGGATTTTTATATTTAAGGAGGGTTTCTTGTAGATAACATATAGTTGGGTCTTGCTGTTTTATACAGTCTGACAATCTCTGCCTTTTCATCGAAGTGCTCAGGTCCTTTACATTTAATGTAATTATTGATATAGCTAGCTTTAAATCTAGCATGCTGTTATTTGTTTTCTCTTTGTCCTATCTGTTGTTTGTTCCCTCTTCCTCCTTTCCTGCCTTCTTTTGGATTGAGTATGTTTTAGTATTCCATTTATCTCCACGTGGCTTATTAGCTCTACTTTCTCTCTCTCTTAGTGGTTGTGCTAGGGTTTATAGTATATCTTTAATTTATATCAATCTATCTTCAAATAATATTATACCACTTCATCTCTGTCTCCTTTAAAATTTTCTCTTTATCACTGCTTTCAGGAATTTGATTATGCTCTGCCTTGGGGTCCTTGTTTTTGTGTTAATTCTATGTAGGATTCTTTGAACTTGTTGGATATGTGGGTTCCTTCAGCATATTTGTAATATTTGTAATAAATGTGTTAACATCCTTGTCTGCAAATTCCATCATCCCTGTTATTTCTGGGCCTGGTTATAGGTCAGATTTTCATGCTCTTTGGCATGTCTGGTGATTTTACACTGAACACTGGACATTGTGAACTGCACATTGTTGAGTGCTTGATGTTGTTTTATTCCTTTCAAGAGTGCTGGAGTTCATGCCGGCAGATGGTAAAGTTACCTGCAGATCAGTTCGATCCTTTCCAGATTTGCTTTAAGGCTTTTGTAGGGTTGATATAGAGTAGAGTTTTACTCTAGAGCTAGATTAGCCCCACTATTAAGGAATGACCCTTCTGGGGCCACTAACAAAGGCCTTGTGTCTGAGGGTTAACTCTGGCCAGTGGGGACTTGAACAATTCTTGACTTATGCTTTGAGAATTGTTCAGCCAGTAGTTCTTCTTTTCTCAGAAGTTATTTTTACCCAGTCTTGTGGACTTTCGCTCTACATGTGCACGGGTTGGTAGTCATCCAAAGACACAAGGGATCCCTACGCAGATTTCTGCCCAGGAGCTCTTTCTATGCGTAGTTCCCTCCTCTAGTGTCCTCTGCCCTACAAATTCTAGCCTCCTCTGGCCTGCCTGGCCTCTGATCTCTGTCTCATCAGTTTGGAAGGGCTGCTGGGCTATATTTGAGTTTCTTCTTTTAGTCCTTTGTCCTGAGTTTGCCTCTGGGCAGAGATGGAGTAATCCCAGGTCGTAGGGCTCACATCGTCGTTTTCCTTTTCCTTTGCTTGGGATTCACAGTTTTGCTCTGCCGGTTGTTGAGTGTCTGAAAACAGATATTTCATACATTTTGCCTATTTTTCTGGTTGTTTATGGCAGAAGGGCAAGTCCCTAGCACTTATGCCTTCACGGGCGGAAGTGTGCTGTCAGTGTGGGCAGTCACGGAAGGCAGCAAAGAGCTGGGGGTGCCCTGTGCACCCCTCATGTCCCACAGACCAGCTCGCTGGATCATCAAAGGATCCCCAGCCCTGGGAACAACAGGCCGTGTAGACCCTTGGCTGTGTGCACACCTGGTCAGAGCCTGTTCCACCTCAGTGTAGGGGCTCCTCAGTTCCGGTTGGGAAGGGCTGATGCGGACCTTGGACCACTCAAGGATGTTTGAGAGGGGCCTGGGAGGCGGGCCTTTACTGTCATAGTCTTTTTGCAGGAGACAAAACCTGCGAGAGTGGAGTAGTGATGGAACTTGGTTTACAAGTGACAGTGTTTGGGGTGGGTGGGGTCCCCGAGATGTGACTCATGACCAAAGTCAGCCACTTCTGGGGTTTCCTTTCAGCTGAAAAATTGTTATGAGACCCCTGGGAGCTAAGCTCACAGACACCAGGAGCCCCTGGGTTAGTGTACAGTAGAGATAGCGCTGTAGTGCCTCCCAGTGCCCACAGGATGAAGCTCAGCACCCCACAGGACGGGCCTCTGGGATCTGGCCCCGCGGGATCTGGCCCCCGCTGCCCCACTCCACGCACCTCTGCCTGAAGGCACTGTGTGCCCTGGGCTTCCCCTGCCTGGAACTCAGCCTTCTCCCTCCTCCTCCCCCAGCACACTGCCTGGATCCAAGTCCTATGTCCACCATTGACCGTGTGCATGACCTCAGGCCAGTTTTAAATCCACTTCTTCGTTCAGATGTAAGAAGAGCGTAAAGATGTCACCCACATCTTCGGGTTTATCGTTAAATGAGCGACAGGATGCTGATGCCATCTGGCATTTATAGAGCATCAGCTGTGTGCCAGGCGCTATTCTGAGCACTGTTCAGAGCAACCCTGCCAGCCAGGCACTCTTCTTATCCCCGTCTCATAAGAGGAGGAAGCTGAGGGGCACAGGACATGACTAACTTGCCCAGGGTCACAGAATTAGCAGGTGGTGGAGAGAGCATATTGAGCCCAGATTCAAAGTCAAGCCAGCTGACTCCACAGCCCAAGCCGTTAACCCCTGGGCTATACAGCCTCAGGAGCTGTTAGCTAATGTTCTGCGGCTACCATTCAGCTCTTGGTAAGGCAAGATGACGCTTCCTCTGGGAAGCCTTCCTTGACTTCCGTGGCTGGGTTGCACGAACAACACTGAATCTGTGCCAAGTGTCTCTCCTGTGTCCCAGAAGCTCTCCCTCTGGGGCTTCTGGTGAGGCAACCCCCCTGCACCACTCTCCAGCTGTGCGGCCACAGGAAAATCACTTCACTCACTCCCTGTGCCCTGCTTTCCTCATCCCCGAACAGGATGCTATTGCTGGGAGACAGGACTTCGGGAGGATTGGGTGAGGTCATACCTATGAAGTGTTCACACCACAGCTGGGTGTGATTATTTGCTCAGCATGGGGTGATTATTTGGGGCATGTTTCACAAGAATCAAGAAAACTGCTGAGTCCTTTGCAGCCCGTCACGGGTACACGGGCTCATGTTGGTTTTTTGGGGATATCTAGAAGTTCCTGATGTCAACCAAGTACAACAAGGACTCCAAGATGTACCACGCACTCCAGACTGTGTTTGGCGAGAGGTAAGGCACGAGGAGGGGGCTGGGTGGGAGGGCAGGAAAGCCTGAGGCTGCTAGCAGAGGGCCCAAGGGGCCCAGAGAGTTGGGTGTCACATTAAGGCCTGAGGCCCTGGCTTCCAGGCACACAACAGGTGCCCCATCTGTGTGGCCACGCTCTTGTCTCTTGTCGTTAGAAAGTTCCTTCTCCTCTTTCCCCTCCGGATGGCAGGTGGGAACGCGGGGGTTACTGAGGTTGGGGTGCATGGATCTCCCCGTTTCTTTTTAATTTACTTTTTATCATGGTAAAATTCACAACCATAAAATTCACCACCTTAACCACGTGGGAGGTACAATTTGGTGGCATTTGGTACATTCACAGTGTGGTGCAACCATCACCACTGTCTAGTTCCAGAACATTTCCATCACCCGAAGTGACCCTGTACCCATCAAGCAGTCAGTCCCCATTCCCTCACCCAGCTTCTCACGTCAAGCATTTGTCCCGTGCAGACTGTTTGGCCAAGGCTTGGTGTCCGAATGTGACTACGAGCGCTGGCACAAGCAGCGGAGAGTCATGGATCTGGCCTTCAGCCGGAGGTGAGTGCGGCCGGAGGTGGTGGGCCTTGGGAAAGGAGGTCTTCATCGGAGGGGGCCTGGCCCAGGCTGAAGGGGGAGAGGAATGAGGGCATGAGGCGTCAGAGAGAGAGCGAGACAGGCGGGCTGGTGGGATGTCACGGAGAGAGAGGTCCCCACGGGGTTTGCGAGCATCAAGGGCTGATTGACAACAATGCCTGGAGGGGTGGAGTCCCTCTACCCCTAGCAGCTCCCTTGGCTCAGACCTCATCTCTCCTCATCTGGGCTTTTTATTTTATTTATTATAGTTTTCATTTTGGGGTAGCATTTTATTTTTTAAATAACTGTTTTATTGAGATATGATTCACATACCATACAATTCACCTATTTTAAAGGGTACAATTCAATGGTTTTTAGTTTATTCACAGCATTGTACAGCCATCTCCACAGTTGATTTTAGAACATTTTCATCACCCCAAAAAGCAGTCACTCCCCATTTCCTCTCAATGGCCCCAGCTCCTGGAAACCACTAATTTACTTCGTGTCTCTATGGATTTTCATATTCTGGACATTTCCAGACAAATGGAATCATACAATATGTGGTCTTTTGTGCCTGGCTTCTTTCACTTGGCATAATGTTTTCAAAGGTTCATTCATTACAGCAGGTGTCAGAACTTCATTCCTGTTTATTGCCAAATAAAATTCCACTGAATGGACATACCACATTGTGTTTATCCATTCATCAGTTGATGGACATCTGGCTTGTTTCTACTTTTTGGCTATTGTGAGTAATGCTGCTATGAACATTTGGGTACAAGTTTTTGTGTGGACGTATGTTTTCATGTCTCTTGGGTGTATAACTAGGGGCGGGATTGCTGGGTCGTATGCTGACTCTATGTTTAACATTTTGAGGAAGGTAATCTTTTATTTTGACACAATTTCTTTTTTTGTGTGTGTGAGGAAGATCAGCCCTGAGCTAACATCCATGCTAATCCTCCTCTTTTTGCTGAGGAAGACCAGCTCTGAGCTAACATCTATTGCCAATCCTCCTCCTTTTTTTCCCCCAAAGCCCCAGTAGATAGTTCTATGTCATAGTTGCAAATCCTTCTAGTTGCTGTATGTGGGACGCGGCCTCAGCATGGCTGGAGAAGCGGTGCGTCAGTGCGCGCCCGGGATCCGAACCCGGGCTGCCAGTAGCGGAGCACGCGCACTTAACTGCTAAGCCATGGGGCCGGCCCTCTATGATTTAAAAATGTGTGACTGATATATGAATATATAGACTTAACCGCTAAGCCATAGGGCCAGCCCGACACAGTTTCAAATTTGTATAAAAATTGCCAGAATAGTCTAAGAGACTCCTGTATATCTTTTACCCAGATTCACTTGTTGTTTATTGTTTAAATCACCATTTGCTTTATCATTTCTTCTCTATGTGTACATATAAATATATTTATCGTTCTCTCTCTGTGTGGGTATATACATATATTTATATTGTTTATGTAGTGCATATTTTTTCAACCATTTGAGAGTAAGTTGGGGACATTGTGATCCCTTCCCTAAAATACTTCCATGTGTATTTCCTGAGAACAAGGACGTCCTCTTACATGACTATAGTTCAGTTATCAAAATCAGGAAATTTAAGATTAACCCAATATTGTTATCTAATCTAAACTCCATATTTGAATTTTGTCATTTGTGCAATTATGGCTGTTTTTTTTCCTTGTCTAGGATCCAACCCAGGTTCATGTGTTATAGTTAGTTACCACATCTCCTTAGCCTCCTTCACTCTAGAATAGTTCTCAGTCCTTTCTCTTGGCCTTAAAACTTTTAAAAATTACAGGCCAGTTTTGTAGAATGTCCTTCAATTTGAGTTTGTTTGCTGTTTCTGCATGATTACACTCAGGTCATGCCTTTTTGGCGGGAATGGCATAGAAGTGATTTTGTGTCCCCCTCTGGGCATTGTATTAGGAGGCACATGCTGTCAATTTGTCCCATTGCTGGAGACATTAACTCTGCTCAGGTGGTTGAGGCAGTGTCCTCAGGTTTCTCCACCGTGAAGTTACTATTTGATAGGTAATCTGTAAGCGACTGTGTAAACGTCCCTGCCTGAACTTTCATCGCAGCCTCCTCCTGGCCTCCCTGCCTCCTGTCTCCCTCCTCCTCCAATGCATCCGCCACAGTGCCCTGGAGAGATCTTGCTGAAACTCATATCCGACCACATCACTCCCCTGTCCTGAAGCCTTCAATGGCTCCCTATCATCTGAAAGAAAGATGAAGGTCAGACCCCACCCACCCCCCATCTGGCCCCTAGACCCCTCCAGCCTTGGCACCCTCTCTCCTCCACCTTTCTGGAACCACTGTGCTCTTTCTAGCATCTCTGCCTTTGTTCCTGCTGCTTCCTCTGCCCTCTGTGCTTCCCCGGGGAATTCCCGTGCCTCCTTTTATATCCAGCTAAGATGGCGCTGCCTGGGGGAGGTGTTCCCTGATCCTCCGAGGCCAAATTCGTGCCTCTGTCACAGCTCCCGTCACACCCACTGAGTGATTCTCATTCAGTCTGCCTCCTTCCATAGACCACAGGTCCCTGAAAGCAGAAGACACCCCCTCTTGCTGGACTCCTGCGTCCAGCAGAGCACCAGGCCCTTCACAGCCCTTCAGTGAATGAATTCATGAGTGAATTAATGAATTGGAATAGTCTTAGTTTTCCTGAAAAGTTACTGGAAGTGAGAATGAGAAGGAATAGGCTGGAGAGAGGCATTTATTGAATAACTACTTATTGCACCAAGAGCCGGGGTTACAAGGACCAGCTGAACTCACGTGGTCCCCACCCTTGGGAAGCTTTGAGGTTGTTGGAGGATGTGGACTCTATCCAGATGACTGCCCACAGCACTCATGACAAATACCAGTGTCACTGTCGAGGCGAACCCTCTCCAGCACACAGGACCTCGCGTTTGAACAGCACTTTACATTTTATTAAGTGCTTTCATAGAGATTTTATTTAAAAAATTTTTTAATTGTGGTAAGGGACACATAACATAAAACTTACCATCTTGCCCATTTTTAGGTGTGCAGTTCAGTGGTATTAAGTAAAGGCACATTGTTGTGCAGCCATCACCGGGCATTTATATTCTTTAGTCTCACAGTAAGACAGTCATCTAAGAGATGACTATTTCATTGCAAATGCAAAATTCACAAAGTTGTGTGAAAGCAGCTTTGGAGATGCCTGTAAGTGTTTACAAAAGTGTTATTGATCTTCGGTGAATCCTAATCCACTAATGAGGGAAAAAACAGGAACCACTGGTGAGTTCCCTCTCCAGCCGTTATCCACACAGAACATCATTATGTACTTTCAATAAAATTGTGAGAGTAAGTTGCCAGTTTCTGCTTGTCTAGATATTACTTTTATTGAAAGACCTTGGTCCCAACCATTTCCTTGAAAGACAGGGGGGCTGGGATTTTACTGTACCACTAATGTTCCAGCCCAAATTGTGTATCTGCAATAGCTGCAAGAGATTCAGTGTTGATGTGACAACCAACTGTGTGCTGTCCAAATAGTCAACTTGAATGTAATTTTTTAAAAAAGACAACTACAAATAGTCTTGCAAATAAATATATTCTTGCAAACCATGTAAGTGTTATGAAGAAAAAGTCGAGGGTGTTATGGGAGCATATACTGGGCTTACCTGGGGCTCAAGAGACATTTCCCTGAGGAAGTGGCATTTGAGTGTCCACCTGGAGAGTGGGCAGGTGTTAAGGTGCTCATGGGGCATAGGGATGGAGGGTGGGAGAGAGGAGAGCTCCAGGCAGAGGGGACAGCATGTGCAAAGGCCCTGAGATGGAAAGGAGCATTGTGCGTTGCAGGAACTAAAAGGCCATCGTAACAGGAAGGCCACACTGCAGGTGGGAGCGAGGAGGGGGCACACTCTGCCTCCCAGGACCAAGTGAGGATTTTTGCCTCTCTCTTAAGAGTGACAGGGTGCTTCAAAGCGTTTTAGGTTGGAAAGGAAGCGGATCAGAGTGGTGCTTTCAGTAGAGACCTGGGCCACAGAGGATAAGATATGCAGCTGGCCAGGGGTGGGGCAGCAGGGAACATGAGGATGCAGGTGGCAGGGGGCGGTGCGTGGAGCATGCTAGAGCCAGGAAGCCACAGCAGGGCTGGTGGATGGGCAATGAAGAGCTGATTTTCTTTCCTAATTAAAAAATTACTTCTTGGGGGCTGGCCCTATGGCATAGTGGTTAAGTCCGGCACGCTCTGCTTCGACGGCCCAGGTTCAGAGGATCAGATCCCAGGTGTGGACCTACACCACTTGTCAGCCATGCTGTGGCTGTGACCCACGTACACAAAATAGAGGAAGATTGGCACAGATGTTAGGTCAGTGCTAATCTTCCTCAAGCAAAAAAAAAAAACAAAAAAAAAAGTAAGACTGGCAACAGATGTTAGCTCAGAGCGAATCTTCCTCAGCAAAAAAAGAAAAAAATTACTTTTTTTCCTCTTCTCCCATTCTCTGTTTTTATTATTTTAAAAAACTTCTTATTTGGAAATAATTTCAAATTTCTAGATAAGTTCTAAGAATAAGAATAAGAGAAAGAACACCCCTATACCCTTTACCCAGATTGTAACATTAAAAATTACTTTTAATTACAAAAGCAGCATTTTCTCTTAGTAAAAATTCAGAAATATGTAATGTGCAAAGTGGCAGTCTCCCCACTTCCCAATCCCTCAGAGTTGCCATTTTGGTGAGTTTGGAGGGCATCCTTCCATACCTCTTTCTAATCTCTGTGCCTGGAAGAGGAGCCAGGTAGTTGCCCTGGGGCGGGGAGCACTGTGGATTGGGAGCTCTGGGTCTGAAGACTCATTTCCACGTAGAGTTGGGCACTGTGCTTGTTCAAGGACAGGGAGTGAAATGGGAAAACAAAAGGCTGCAGACAGTGGCCCGGGCAGGGCAGGTAAGGAGAGTGGACAGAGCAAGCAGAGAGGTGGGAGGGGAACCGGGGTGGCCCTGTCACGGACTCTAGGGGGCCCTGGAGGCCTTTTTCCCTTCCTGCCCACTGTTGTCTGGAGTTTCTACACCGCCACATCCCCTTGAGGTCAGAGTTGAGGGGCCCAGTGGCAGACAGAGGACCCATGGAAACAGTAAGACGAAGGCAAAGGGTCAGTGTCCATCCTGGGTGGAGGGGAGTGGTGAAACCCCGGGGCTTAGTTTGATTCCAGCAGCCCCAAGCTGGGCCTCGAGGGGAGGCCAGAAAGGCTGGGAGGGGCCCCCACTCCCCCACTCTGCACACTGGCCTCCCTCCGGAGAGGGGGCGCGGGCTGGCCGCAGACCTGGGCTGGTCCCGGTGGCCGCTGATGCATGCGCTGTCTCCCCAGCTCCTTGGTCAGCTTGATGGAAACGTTCAATGAGAAAGCCGAGCAGCTGGTGGAGATTCTGGAAGCCAAGGCGGACGGGCAGACCCCGGTGTCCATGCAGGATATGCTGACCTGCACCACCATGGACATCCTGGCCAAGGTGATGGGCGGGGCGGGGCCCGGGGGCGGGCCGGGCACACGCACAGGGGGCTCTCCCTCCCTCTTCCCCTTCACTGCTTCCCTCCCTCCCTCCCTCCCGCTCCGCCGCGGAGCAGCAGCCGCTTCTCTGGGCTGGGAGCTTCAAATCTCCTTGAATATTCAAAACAACCTAGTGTGAGATGGGAGCCACTGACTCCTGCTCTAGAAGCGTCCATCAGAGGTGTGGGGACTGGCCTGTGGCTGGCCAGTGGCAGAAGCAGGGCTGGATCTCAGGTCGGCCTGACTCCCAGCCCAAAGCGCCCCTCCCCCTGGCGTCCTCCCGTGGGATGTGGCTTGGCTTTTCTCCCTGGCGGTCTCAGCAGGGGCCCAGATAACCCCAAACCCAGATAAAGGCAGGGCAGGCAGCTGGCATGTAGGGACAGCGAGTGAAGAGTCGTCGTCATCCCACAATCCACTGGGAAGCTGGGTGTGGGATGGACACCCAAGGAAGGCTGAATTTCAGGGGAAATGCATCTTGTCGAGGAAAGAAGTCAAGGTTTGTCGAGTGGTTACTAACGTGCTACTTAATCCTCACCACATTGCCAGGGGTGGAATTATGATCGGTCGTTGTGAGGAGTTGATGACGTGATGCACGTAAACCCTGAGTCCAGGGCCTGGGTCTCCAGACCCTGCCCTGGGTCTTTGTCCTCCCATCCCCCAGGTATGACCTCGCCCTCCTCTCTCCCCCAGGCAGCTTTTGGGATGGAGACCAGCATGCTGCTGGGTGCCCAGAAACCTCTGTCCCGGAAGGTGAAACTGATCCTGGAGGGTATCAGCGCCTCTCGCAACACTCTGGCGAAGGTACTGCCTCAGCACCCCCTTGGCAACCAACCACCACAGCTTGCGTTGTCCTTATTTGCTGGAGCACCTCCTCCAGTGGTTTTTTTCAGAATGGGTTTTGAGTTCTGGTGTGTGTGAATCAGTTAGGATTTGCATACATCGCCTAAAGTAGAGGCTCAAAATCAAAGTGGTTTAAGTAAGTTAGGAGTTAATCTTTCTCTCATGTAAAATGATCCCAAAGCAGGCAATCTAGCGTGGCTGTGATGGCTCCACAATGTCAGATGTTCCTGGATTTTTTGGTCTTTCTGTTCCACTGTCTCCAGCACATCACCTCATTGTTATAAGATGGTTGCTGCAGCTCCAGCTGTCACCCACTTGTTCCAGGCATGGAAGAGAAAAAAGGGGGAAAGGTGGTACTTGAGTTGGTTCCCAGACAGATGCTCAGGGCCCCTTCCTGTTCCCTGGGACTTCAGCCTCCGAGCTTAGAGTCCCCTGATGCCACCTCATCTTTTTGGCAGTTGATTCCATGTCCGTTCCCTGTGGTTGTGGTTTCTTCCTTCAGTGTGGTCCCAACCACCTCCTTCCCCAGGGCTCCTTGGTTTCCAGTGCTGCGTGGATGTCTCAAGGCATCTTTCCCACCATTTCTAGGGATTTGGCGCAGGAAGGGAAGCCAGTGCTTGGGCTTAGCCCGCCATCGTGATCTAGTCTCCCTGGCTACTTTATCTTTTCTAGAATTTTCTAGCATTCTTCCGACCTCCCAGCTGGCCGGCGCTGCTGTGGATTTCTAAAGTCATTTTGGAGCTGGGGGAGAGGGGAGAGGGAAAGCGTGTGTTCGGTAGACCCTGTGGAGCTGGGCCTCTCGTTCAGTTCATGCCAGGGAAGTGGAAGCAGCTCCGCGAGGTCCGGGAGAGCATTCGCTTTCTGCGCCAGGTCGGCAAGGACTGGGTCCAGCGCCGCCGGGAGGCCCTGAAGCGGGGGGAGGACGTCCCTGCCGACATCCTCACGCAGATTCTGAAAGGTGCGAGGGCGCCCTCGGAGGGCCGGGGCGGCCGGGGTGGCCGTGCTGTCAGGGTGACGGGTCCCAGTGGACTCCAGAGGTCTCTGTCTGGCTTAAGGGAGAACGACGTCTGGTTCTTTTATGAGCTGTGGGAAAGGGAGCAAGGTGTCGCGGACGTGTGCTGCAGGGACCTGAGGCTCTCCTTGTCTTTCAGCTGAAGAGGGGGCCCAGGACGACGAGATCCTGCTGGACAACTTTGTCACCTTCCTCATCGCTGGTTTGTAGCCTCTGCGGCGACCCAGGGCCCAGAGCTTTGCAGAAGCGACGGGAACCGTGGTCCCTTAAACCCTGACTCAGAGAGTTTCCGGGCTGTCTGAGCAGAGTTCTGCTGGGGAACTGGGGGGGCTGGGAGGAGGGGAGCAGAAGCCCTCTCTCTCTGCTTGGGGAGGTCCGGGGGGCTCTCGGCGGCCTCTGACCTGGCAATGGAGCTGGCAATTGTGGGGATTTGTGAAGCCGCCCTTTTGGGCTCAGGAGAGCTTGGCCATGTGAATTCAAGGCTCCCCTCACTCAGGATCTGTGGGGAGGGCTTCACCGGACCAGCACAAAAAGGAGTGCTGAGCATCTTCATTCATTTGCTCATCAAATATTTCTTGAGCATCTTTCTTCACCTAGAAAATTCCTCCTCACCCTTCAGATGTTCCTCAGGTGCCTCTTCCTCGGGGAAGCCCTCAGTGATTGCCCAGACTGCACCCAGTTAGAAGGCCCCCAGTTAGAAGCTCTCCATGGTGCCCAGGGCTCCTTTCTGCCCTCACGTCTCAGTGTCCTGTATTTATTTGTGGTAGTTCGCTGAGGTCGTCTCCCCACCAGACTGCACACTCAGTGAGCGAGGGGTGATGTGGCTTTGCTCACCTGTGTATTCCCAGGTTCCCATAACGATTGGATGAAATGAATGAGCCAGTGAATGAATCGTAGGCCTGAGGAAGACGGAAGTGAACGAGATGAGGGACAGTTCATGTTCTGATGGCGGAGGTGGACGGACAGACAGACAGAATTGGTTGGGAATCTTGCTGGGCGGTGGGGATTTTCAGAGGAGGGAGCGAGCAAGCCTGCCTCCCCTACAAGAGAGCTGTGACAGAGGAGGCGGTCTGCCGTGTGGGTGGGGCGGAGGGGGCCCTCCCGGTGGGGGAGGCCTGCTCAGACGGCCCAGGAGACCTGGAGAGATGGTTAGTGTTGGAGCGAGAGTTCAGGGGGCCTGACAGAGAATGCTGCTGAGTGACGGACGGCTGGCCGGGGCCCTGAGAGCCAGGAGCCCAGGCCTGGATGTGGCTCCTCCCCAGGCTGGCCCTGTGGCCTCAGTTTCCTCATCTGTAAATGGGGCCTGGAGGTGCTCCCCAAGCTTCCACTCAGCCTCCCAATGAGGGTTAATAATCCCCCTCATGTCCTCACAGCCCACCCCCAGCCCTGTGTCCAGACACTGCAGGTGGGGGAGAGCAGGGCAGCTGCGTCCCTCCTCGCCTTGTCCTGCAAGGAAACTGAGTCACAGCTGGCAACGCAGAGCTGGGGCCAGGCCAAGACTTCTGGCGGCTTCTGCTCTCCCTCCCCAGCCCCTTCCCTCTGGGGTCCCCTGGCTGTGACTCACCCGCCGTCCTGCCCTGGGAGCAGCTGGGCCCCGGGTCCAGGCACCTGGTCGCTGTAGGTGGGGGCCCTTCTCTCGCATTCGAGCAGGCCCCTGAGGCCCCTTGGCTGGCCGTGGTGGCCACCTGGTAAGCCACCTGCCCCATCAGGGGAAATTCAAGCAACTCTGATGGTTCCCTCCCAGGCCAACTGGGAGGGTTTTGACTCTATCCACTTGACCAGATCCCACAAGAACTCAGAATTGGCCCTCTTGCAGTGACCCCCACCTTCTCAGGGGGAAGGCACCCGGTGGTCCTGGTGGCTAGGGGACTCTCCAGACCTTGGGGGCTGGTGTCATAGCTTGGGAAGGACACGGGCCTTGGGCTCAAAACCTTGCTTGACTTGAGTCCCAGCTCTGTTCCTCCTGCTGAGGGACCTAAGAGACACATGTGCCTCTCAGCCTCAGTTTCTCTTCTGCAAAGTGGGGATGAACATCCCTCCAGGCTGGGCAAGGCTCAAGGATGGTTGGAAGAGGGGGCTCTTAGAGTGTGAAAACCAGACACAGGGGGGCAAATGCCGTTTACTTGACTACACTGGTCGGCACAGGGGACGCGGAGGTGGACAGGGACCTCCGCCATGTCTGTACGCCCAGCTCAGCCACAGGGGGCAGAAGGGAACCTGAACTGCCCCCAGGGCCTTGTGGTCTCAGAGGCCGGGCAGGCTGGGCCAGCAGCCCCGTAGGCCCATATGGAGCTGCCCCTCGCCTCTTTCCTGCAGGTCACGAGACCTCTGCCAACCACTTGGCCTTCACAGTGATGGAGCTGTCACGCCAGCCCGAGATCTTGGCGAGGTATGGAGAGGGGAGACTTGGTGGTGGTGGGGGGGATTCCCTTGAGGTTGGTGAAGGGGTTTGTCTAATGTCTTGTTCCTGGAAGACCACCTGCTCCCGCCTCCCATGGCTGAGCCCCCTCCAATGTGTCCTTTTTTTTTGTGAGATCAGCCCTGTGCTAACATCTGCCAATCCTCCTCTTTTTTTTTTTTGCTGAGGAAGACTCGCCCTGGGCTAACATCCTTGCCCATCTTCCTCCACTTTATATGGGACACCTCCACAGCATGGCTTGCCAAGCAGTGCGTTGGTGTGCGCCCGGGATCCGAGCCAGCGAACCCCGGGCTGCCACAGCGGTGGAGCGCGTGCACTTAACCACTTGCGCCACCGGGCCGGCCCCAATGTGTCCTGCCTCTCTTCACCCAAGGGCCTTTGCACAGGCTGTTCTCTCCCCCAGAAGCTCCTCTCCCTGCTTTTCTCCTGGCAAATCCCTTCTCCTCTCCCCCTTCCTCCTCCTCAGAACCTTCTCAGACCCCTAAAGCAGCCCCTCTGTGTTTTCCCCTCCTACGCTCCTCCCAGCTCGATAATGCATTTCCTCCTGGGACGGTTCAAGTCTATTTCAGTCCTGAAACCAGAAGCTCCAAGAGGGCGGGGACCACGGCTCTCTCCCTCCCCGTGGTGTAGCCAGTGCCTGGCCCAGGGCTGGCACTCAGGACCGAGCAGAATTCCAACCAAAGTGCTAAGGGAGCGCTTGTCTTCCGCTGGCGAGACAAAGGAGGGCGTCCCTGGGGAGAGCGCTTTTGAGCCCGGCCAGTGGTTCCTTAAATACGAAGCTTCCCTCGAGGACCATTGTGCAGACTGACTGAGCCAAGTGCAGGAGGACTGGGAAACCCACGGGCTCACGCGGGGGCTCCGGGCAGGGGAAAGGGCTGCCGTGAGTCGTCAGCACCAGCAGAAAAGGCAGACGTGAGCCTCTGCTTGATGCGATCAAATGGTTTACTGGGTTTTTAAAAATATCTAATAGGAACATGTTCTTTATAAAAAATTTGGAAAAAAGCAGAAAAGTTAAAATAATAATAATAATGATAAGAATAATAAATCTACCCATGGTGCTCCTACCCACCCACCCAGAGGTAGTTCATGATTAACTACCAAATTCCACCATGTATCTTATCACAACGTTGCCCCACATTATTGTTACCTCTTTCCAAATCCACTCTTTTTTTCATATTGTGGTAAAAAAAAAAAAAATAATATATATATATATAGCATGATATTTACCATTTAACTATTTCTAACTGTACAGTTCGGTGGCATTAAGTACATTCATTCACGTTGTTGTGTACCCATCACCACCATCCATCCCCAGAACTCTTTTCATCTTCCCAAACTGAAACTCTGTCCCCATTAAACACTAATTCCCCCTCCCCCAGCCCCTGGCACCCACCATTCTATTTCCTGTCTCTGTGAATGTGCCTCCTCTAGGGACCTCATGTAAGTGGAATCATACAGGATTTGTCCTTTTGTGACTGGCTTGTTTCACTCAGTATAAGGTCCTCAAGGTTCATCCATGCTGTAGCGTGTGTCGGAATGTCCTTCCTTTGTAAGACTGAGTAATATTCCATTGAACGGATATACCACATCTTGGCTATCCATTCATCCATCAATGGGCACTTGGGTAGCTTCCACCTTTTGGCTACTGTGAATAATGCTGCTATGAACATGGGTGTGCACAGATCTATTTGAGACCCTACTTTCAATTCTTTTGGGTATATTCCCAGAGTGGAATTGCTGGATCATATGGTAACTATATGTTTAATTTTTTGAGGAATCACCAGGCTATTTTCCATATGCACCTGCACCATTTTACATTCCCACCAACATTGCTCAAGGGTTCTGATTTCTCCACATCCTTGGCAACACTTGTTATTTTCTGTCCCCTCCTGATGGGTGAGAAGTGGTCCAGGCCCACCCTTAGTGCTGCATATTATGCTAACGGTGCTCGTCCCAAAGTTTACTCAGCCAGCATCCCTGCACCCCTTGTTCTGCCGTTTCCAGCTGTTGGCTGCTGTGAGCCAGGCTGATAGGCCTCTTTGTGCAAAGACCTGGTTCTGTGGTGTGTTTATTTCCTGCAGCCGATTCCAAGCAGCAAACACAGAGGGCGAATGTTGTAAGGCCGGAAACGTAGTTCCTAACTTCCTGAGATCTTGGTTTGGACATGGTCATTCCTGGATGTCTTCAACAATGGGGTGGGCAGTGTGTGCAGGTGGGGGACCCCAGGCCTCTGTTTGCACACTTCCTTCCATCCCCTCTTCTTAAAAATAACGTGGGACTGGTCGCTCCTTGGAGATGAACTTGTCTGCCTCTGACCCAACAGGCTGCAGGCCGAGGTGGATGAGGTCGTCGGTTCTAAGAGGCACCTTGACTGCGAGGACCTGGGGAGACTGCAGTACCTGTCCCAGGTGTGGGGGGTGAGAGAGAAGCTTCTGGGCAGATGTGGGTGATCCATCGGGTCAGGCCTTTAGTACAGGGGTTCTCTAATTTCACTGCACCTGAGAATCCTCTAGGAGATTAAAAAAATTCCCCTGCCCAGGCTGCCCCCAGACCAATGCATCTAGGGGCTGGGGGCGGGAGCTGGGCAGCAGCATTGTTAAGGCCTCCCAGGTAAATTCAACTCGCAGCCCAGATTGGAGACCAGCCCATTAGTAAATGCTGCTGTATTTGCGCTTCCCAACCAGGCCAGGGTTCCACAAGCCTTAAGCTTCCCACCAGGGAGCCAGGCTCAGCAGACCCCTCCCCTCGCTGACAAAACACAGTAGGAGGCCTTGCTTGAGTCATCTGGGGTTCTCGGGTCAGTGGGAGCCCTGGTTCAGAGGGAGGCCTGGCTCCCCGTCCGGTCTCTGCCATGGTGGTTTGCACAACCCCCTTCTGGGCCTCAGTTTCTTCTTCTGTCACAGGAGGGGTTGGAGAGAAAGGTAAAGCTAACTTTGCAGGGGTCCAGGACCCAGTCCTGGATGTGGGTGCACATTCTGCACTGTGAGTGGTAGCAGACATGGGTCCAGGGCACGTTCTGTGGGATCTCCTGACTTCTCTCGTTATCTCCCCGCGTGGCTTCTGTAGGTCCTCAAAGAGTCGCTGAGGCTGTACCCGCCAGCATGGGGCACCTTTCGCCTGCTGGAGGAGGAGACCTTGATTGACGGGGTCAGAGTCCCCGGCAACACCCCGCTCCTGGTGCGTCGGGGCCCTGCCTGCCTGCCCCGTATTTGGGGCTCTCCTCTGAGGTCAGGGGAGTCTGTGGCCCCGTTATCAACACAGGCTGCCCTGTGCGTTCTCATTTGACTGTCACCATAACCCTGTGTGATCTTTTTCTCCCACTTCGCACAGTCCAGTGTAAGATTACAGCAGATGATTCTGGAAGGGAGGTGCCCCATTCCTAGCTGAGGACGCTGAGGCTCAGAGAGGTTAGGTCACTCTCCTGAGGTCACACAGCCAGCAATGGGCAGATATGGATTGTGTCCAGTTTCACAGCTGGCCCAAATTTGTCCCAGTTCCTTTTCTCTCTGCTCCACAGCCCCTTCTCCCACTGAGGTTGACTTTCTCCTCCTTCCTACTGTACATTTTGTCTCTTCATCTGTTTACTCCCTCATTCATTTCTTCATTCATTCAGGCATCCATTCATGCATAATGACCTCCCCTAAACCCACCACACACCCCCAAAACTAGAATATAATCATTTACATACATGCTATTCTCCTGCTGCCCTCCAGAAGCAATCACTCTCCTGAATTTTGTCCTTGCCGTCCCCTCAGTGGGTGTGTGTATGTGTGTGTGCACCCACCCAATCATATGTTCTAGGACTTGCTTTGTGACTCTATAATATCTACTAAGATTTGTGGAGGTTTCCACATGTGACTGTAGGCCATCCGTTTTCACTGCTGTGTAATATTCCACTGTGTGAAGAGACCACCATGGCCTATTGATTCTGGGGTCAATGGACATTTGGGAGGTTCCAGTTTGTTGCTGTCATGAGCACCACTGCTGCTGTCAGTGTTCCTGTCTGTACATCCTAGTGCAACATGCAAACGTGTTTCTTGGGCATGTACCCAGGAGTGAGAGGGCTGGATTGTAGGACATCTGAGTGATCAACTTTATAAACTAGTGCCAAATTGTTTTCCAAAGTGGCTGTGCCAACTCAGTGCCCACTCGTGGTGTAAGAGAGAGTCTGTTGTTCCTCATTCTCCCCAGCCTTAGAATGGTCTAATTTCTTATTTTTTGCCAATCAAATAAGTGCTGGGAAAGTATTTCACTGTGGTTTGGATTTGCACTTTCCTGATTACTAGTGAGGTAGGGCAGCTCTACGGGGCTTTTCCTCTTCTGTGAGGGGTCTGTCCATTTCTCTTTCTTGGGTTGTCTGTCTTATTGCTATGTAAACCTTTATTAAAACTTTATATATTAATGCTTTCTCAGGTATATGTGTAGCTAATATTGTCTCTATATTTGTGGCTTGTCTTTGTTAAGGTATTTTTAATGATCTGAAGTTCTTAATTTTTTAGTGTTTAGTTTTCTTGTTTTGTCTTACTTAAGAAATCCTTCCCTATGCTGAGGTCAGAAGGATATTCACTTACATTGCCCTCTAACAATTTACATTTTTCTTTTGAAAGTTAAGTTCTTATCTACCTGGAATGGATTTTGTGAGTGGTGTGAGGTTGGGATCTGTATCAGTTTGATGGGGCTGCTGTAACAAAGGACCACAGACTAGGCAGCTTAGACAGCAGAAATTTATTTTCTCACAGTTCTGGAGAGCATGAGTCTGAGATCAAGGTGTCAGCAGGGTTGGTTCCTTCTGAGGCCAATCTCCTTGGCTTGTAGGTGACCATCTTCTCCCTGTGTCCTCACTCGTCTATGTCCTAACCTCCTCTTCTTGTAAGGACACCAGTTCTTATTAGAAGGACACTAGGCCTTATCAGATTAGGGCCCACCCTAGTGACCTCATTTTAAAATTACCTCTTTGAAGACCCCATCTCCAAATATAGTCACATTCAGAGGTTAGGACTTCAACATATGAATTTGGAGGGGGGGCACAATTCAGCCCATAACAGGACTCATATTTATATTTACATGTGGAGAATGATGTGCTTCGAGCCTCATCTGTTGAGTAGCAGCCCCCCCCCGCCATGCCTTCTCCAGTGTGTATCAAAGCTTCATCTACGTGTGTTTCTTTATTCTATTCATCTGCTCTTTTTTTTTTTTTTTAACACCCCTGAACCAATACCACCTGCCTTAATGACCCTCTCTTTAGAATGCCCTTACACCTGGCAGGGCAAGGCCCTGTGCTGACTCTCAACCCAGGTGTACAGCCCCCTGGGTTACGAGTGGGCAGCCCCAGGCTCCAATCCCAGCCCTGCTTCCAGCTGGCTGGGTCATCTCAGGCAAGACCCTGAATCTCTGGATCTCAATGTCATCCTTGTAAGACGGGGATGATGGTGCCCGAGTCACAGTGTATTGAGAAGAGTCAACAGGATAATGTACATCATGCGTCTGGCAAAATCCCTGGCACATAGTAGGTGCCCTTTGCTGACCTCAGACTCTCCCAGCTCATGCTCCAACTCACTTTTCAGAGCTCAGCTCCAGGCCCCTCCTCCACCCCCAGCTGCCCTGGACTCGGCACAGAGAACCAGAGGCAGAGCGGGCTCAGGGAGGCACTTAGCGCAGAGGCGGAAGAGGCAGAGGCCAGCACCCAGGGTCCAAGTTATGGGGGGCATGTATGGCCCCTGGGGGCCAGGCGCTCGGAGCATTAACCCTGATCAGAAGGCACCATGCATACAAGTGAAAGGCTAGTGGGGGTCTGCAGCTCCCCCATCCCACCCCCACTGAAGCAAGCCTTGTGTTGAAGAGAAACTGAATGGTAACAGCTCTCAGGGATCCAGAGAAAGATGGCCCCATAGCAGACCTGAGGCCAGCAGATCTCAGTTTGGCCACTTACTCACCAGGTGACTTCAGGCAAGTCATGAACCTCTCTCTGAGCCTCAGTTTCCTCATCTGTAAAATAGGGATAATTGTAGCTCCCCCCCAGGGCGGGGCCAAGCCTGGGATGATGTAGCATGCCCAGCTGGTTGTTGGTACATGGGGCTGTCCCCTTTCTTCCTCTTAGAGACTTTCCAGGGGCCTGTGGGATCCCACACTGGCCCAGATGAGGGGGGGAGATAGGTGGGTAGTGAGATAGGTGGGTGAAGAGATGGGTTGCTGGGGAGATGGGTGGGTAGGGTAGAACAGGGGTGGGGTGATGGGTGGGTGGGGAGATGGGTGGGTGGGGAGATGGGAGGCTGGAGAGATGGGTGGGTAGAGTAGAGAAAGGGTGGGAGGTGGCGGGGGGGCTACTCTGCTCCAAGTGGCCCCATTGGGAGGCCACAGTGGGTCGGGGAGGTGCAAGGGACCAATCCTTGGACCCAGAGATAAGCGGATCCTGTGCCCGGCAGTTCAGCACCTACGTCATGGGGCGGATGGACACATACTTTGAAGACCCGCTGACTTTCAACCCTGATCGCTTCAGCCCCAAAGCACCCAAGTAAGTCTCTCTTCGAGCTGTCCATGAGCAGAGGCCTGGTGGGAGAAGGACGGTCTCGGCGGCCTCTGTTCTGAGCTGCCAGTGTCCACTGAGCCATGCTTTCCAGAACCCCACTCTGCCGCCTTTTACAGGGGAGGAAATCACTGCTCAGAGAGGTTAGGTAACTTGCCCAAGGGTGCGCAGCTGTAACTGACAGAGCTGGGGTTTGGTTCTAAAGCTCATTCTCATAACCAGTCCCTTATACGGGGAAGCCGTGTGACGTGGGCAAGTGACGGCACCTCCCCGACCTTGATGCTCCTATCTGAGAAATGGGAATAGCAATGGCTCCCTCTGGAGGTTGCTGCGTTAAAATACTGAAGCAGCAGTGGGGGAGCCGGGCTCCAGGAACAGACCACCGGAGTCCAGACCCAGACTCGGCCCAGAACTGGACCTGTGACCAGCTGAACGAGCAGATGACATGGGACCTTGGGCGAGTTGCTTTGCCTCTCAGAGCCTCAGCTCCTGCATCCGTGAAACCGGGATGATAGCAGCTCCTTCTGGAAGGCGCAAGAGGAGGATAAAATGGGGAAATGCGGGGCCAGAGCTTAGCAGAGGCAGCTGTTGCTGTTTTCGGTGTGTGTAAAGACCAGCCCTGGCCCAAAGCCGGCCATCAGCAGGGCCTGGTTCTGTCATTACTGTGGGGGCCGCCTCGCGGGGCTGCCACCGCCCCCTGACGCCTCTCTCCCTGCAGGCCGAGGTTCACCTACTTCCCCTTCTCCCTGGGCCCCCGCTCCTGCATCGGGCAGCAGTTTGCGCAGGTAGGAGCCGGGGCTGGGTTTTCTGCCCAGAGGGACTGCAGGGGTGGCGGCTTGTCCTGGGCCACAAAGCATTTCAGAGCCCTGCTCCGGGCCCCCAGCGGCCGCAGCGGCCCTGCTCAGTCACTCGTCCCGCCGTCCTCCTGCATCCTTCCTCGCCTCCGTGACTTGCGCGCACTGACCCGCTTCCCCCGCCCCCGCATGCGCAGATGGAGGTGAAGGTGGTCATGGCCAAGCTGCTGCAGAGGCTCGAGTTCCGGCTGGTGCCCGGGCAGCGCTTCGGGCTGCAGGAGCAGGCCACGCTCAAGCCACTGGACCCCGTGCTGTGCACCCTGCAGCCCCGCGGCTGGCAGCCCGCGCCCCCACCCCCGCCCTGCTGAGGGGGCCTGGGGCGGGACCGGACTCCTGGGCAAAGGCTGCGCCCCCTCCTCTGCAACCCCACTGCCTCCCACCGTGCTCTCCTGCCCCCTTCCTCGGGCACCCTCCACGCTGGCTCCCAGCGGGCCCTCTGCCAACCACCGCCTGCTTCACGCCCCCAGCGCTCCCTGTCCCCTGCTAACTCCACTGGCCTTCCTGGACTGGCCCCTGCCTAACTCCAGCTGCCACGCAGATGTGTGGTTGTCTCCCCCGACCTCTTTGCACAGGCCACTCCCTCTGCTGAGACACCCTAACTTTTGCTCACTCCCTAAAGCCCTCTTCGGGTGTCACCTCCTCCAGGAAGCCCTCCCTGCTGTCCCCCGGCCGGGCCAGGGGCCCCTCATCCGTACTCCCTTGGTCACCTGTGCTACCTCTAACACCACACTGACCACACTGTATCATGAGTGTCCTCTGATGTGACAGATCACCCTGCCAGGTTGTGAGCACCTTGAGGGCAGGGTCTGCGTGTGATTTGTCTCTGAGCCCCTCATGCCCACCCAGGGCCTGGCCCAGAGTCGATGCTCAATAAATATGTGTTGACTGCATGAATGAATGGCCAGACCAGACCAGGGCGCTCTGGCCTCCGTTTGCTTGTCTGTTAAAATGGGGGTGATGTTGAGGTCAGTCTCTCTCAGGGCTGGCGCTGCTCTGGAAGCTATCCCTGGAGATGCTCGGGCAATGCCACCTTGAGAGAAGACTGCCCAGGTGACCAGGATGGCCCTGTGTTAGTAGACGCCTGTTCCTTGTGTTATATGCAAGACCACGCTCCTGGGTGTAGTGTGAGGTTGGGATTACAGGCTGGGGACTGGTTTTGAGAGCTTGATTGGAGAAGGTTGCGGCCCTGGGGCCTGTGTGGTCTAATCCACTCCCGACAAAGATACTGATGCCCCAGGTGGCCTCACAGAGGCCAGAGCCCCTGGGCCCTCTCTCGGGGGCAGCTGGGTGGAGCTGAGCACGCATACCGGGTCTCACGTCCCCCGGCATCCTCTGCACCTGCTGGCACGATGCTGCCCATCCTGGCCTGGCCCACGTGATGAGTCTATGACTCTCACAGCAGTGGGTGGGTGGGAGAAGCCGTCCCTTCCTCTGCAGGGCCTAGGGGTGGCCAAGGGGCAGTAAATATGGCACGCTGTGTTCTCTGGGCCCATCAAGGAAAAGTACCTGCCCTGAGTTTCTCCTTTAGCAGCTGGGAGCTTGTCTGCATGCAGAGAGAACAAACCGCCCTCACCCCCAGTCAGGGTACGTGCTCAAGAAAGGTCCCGTCCCACATGGGGGAGGGCATGGATTCGGGCTGCCTCTTGCTGTGCGTCTCTCCTGGGACCTTGCCACAGTCTGAAACGACAGTTCCAAGGGATCTCCCCATGTAGCAGAGAGGAAACTCAGGCTCAGGGGAGGAAGTGATGTGCGCAGTACAGGTGCATGTACCGTACTAGGGCGGACCCCCCCCGACCCCCCAGCCCAGGCTGGCCGTGGAACCACACTAGTAGTTTCGTCTGAGCCTCTGGGCAGAGGATCCGGCCTCCAGGACGCCTCTGAGCTGAGATTCCTTGCAGAGTAAGGGCCCTCCTGCTCCCCTAGCCTCCTGCCTGACCTGAGCACTTGGCTAGGCTCTTGTCAAGCTACACCCCCGCCCTCTCTGTTTCCAGTTCCCTGACCGGGGCCCCAGAACCTCCTGTGGCTCTGAGAATAGTGTGCCCGGGCTCTGCCTCCAGCTGCATGGTCAGACCCACCCCTTGCTTGTCTCTGCCCTGCACGGAAGCAGCCCTTTCCCACGGCCACCCAAATGCCACTGTCTCCTCTGGTCTAGTTCCCGGGCCCTCAGCCCTGCACTGCTTTCAGGGACCTGACCTGCTGTGACCACTCCTGCTCTCTGCAACCCCTCTCTGAGGTTCACCAGCCCCCACACCTGTCCATTCCACACCCCTCCCACACACCAGCCCCCCAGGAGACCCCAATGAGCACAGGGCTGGTGTCAACCCCTGGGGTCCAGGCAGGCTGGACGGGGTTAAGCCCAAGGCTCTGCAGCCAGGCCTCCTGGGGTCAAATCATGCCCTCACCTGTCACTGGCTGTGGGGCTTGGGCCTCAGTTTCCCCATCTGTAAGAGACAACAAATCGGACCCACATCCTAGGGTTGGGTGGGAGAATTGAGAGCGTTCTGAGTGGATCGTGCTTAGCACAGAGCCTGTCAACGTCCGTGCTGCAGACCCGCCGGCTGTAACCGTCACTGGCGGTGGCATCTTGACAGCTGTCACCTCCGGGGAAGGAAGGGCTTTCCTGGGAGGCCTGGCAGTGCAGTTCCCAGGAGAGCCACACAGTGGCGCCCCGCCGCAGCGCTCGAGTCCGCGCGGCTGCCGCAGGCAGAGTGGGCGGCACCTCCCCACCCCACGGAGGGTCCAGGGGGCCGGAGGGGGCGGGGCCCGAGGCGACGCAAGCCCAGCCTCCTGGGGGCGGGGTCAGAGCGAGAGGGTGCAGACCCGCCCCGGCCAAGGCGCCGGTGGTCTGGGGCATCCGTTGACCACTGGGAGGGAGGGGAAGGGGAGGTGGGCAGTCCCCATTTCCCAAATGGGGCCGCCGAGACGCGGCGAGGGTCAGGCAGCTGGCGGGGCCGACAGGAACACTGCCACGCAGGCGGGGGTGCGGCGATCGCTCGGCGGTTCGCCCTCACCTCTCTGGCCGTGGGCCTGCGTCTGGCGGTGGGACGCTGGCTGCCCGGTAGAGGGGCCTCACCCGGAAGGGGCAGCTTTGGCAAGAAAAGCCCTGCGGTGGAGAAGCGCACAGAGGACCGGTCGGGGCGCAGGCTGCTTCCTGCTGCCTGGGAACCGGGGAATGCCTCGTGATCCCCCAGGGCTGAGCTGCTCCACAGTTAAAGTGCTCTCTGCTAAGCAGAAGCCACCTCCCGTGTCCTCGGCCCCAGAGGCCTGGAGGCCAGTGATGAGGGACCCTTGGGGTGGCTTGTGGCTCAGGCCCAGTTCGAGTGTGGCTTTGGGAGCCTTGGCCTACTCCGGCAGGGGGCAAGAAGCTTGGCCCAGCCTGGTCCAGTGGGAGGTTTTCTTCCTCTGTGTGCTGCGCGCTGGGACAGGAGGCTGGCTCTGGAGTCCCCTGGTGGTCCTGCTGGACCTCAGTGGCAGCCAATGTGGGTGGGCAGAGGTCCACAATTAGCTGCCCACCTGGGAAGGTTCTGGATGGAGCTCAGCCCCTGCTGGTTGTCTTGGCCGAGTGGCGTAGTGTCCTTTACACTGGTCCAGAGTCAGGTAGGTCCATCCAGCGCAGGTGGACCCCACAAACGCGGGATGACCTGAGAGAGGGGATGGCCACCTGGAGGGGACCTGGAGGTGGGGGCAGAGGGGACTCAAGCCAGTGGCTCTTCCTTCTTTTCTGCATGGATGTTTGCTTTTCTCTGGGGCGAGAATCCTACATTCTCAGCCGGCTTGCTGAGGAGACCATGACCCAAAGGAGGTTCGCAAACCCCCTGGGGTGACTCCTCAATCGACGTCTGCCCTGACTCACCCTGGGTTCCAGACAGCCTCCGGCGTCTCTGCCTGGATGTCCAAAAATAACCCCATCCGGAGGAGGGGCAGACAGGGGGGTATTTCTGGCAGATGGGGGGACTTATAGCAGAGGGTCATTTCTCTGAAGTAGTGCCGGGGCGGGGAGGGACGGAGTCAAGGCCCTTCCATGGCCAGGAGCTTTAAAAACACATTCTTCCCAGAACACGGCCTCTGCTGCACTTTCTTCTCATTTAGGGAAACCAGAGTCCCCCTTCTGGGGTTGTCCACCTTAGGCAGCCCCTGCTGATGGGCAGGACCCTGGGCCAGCCAGGCAGAGCGGTCAGCCCAGTGGGAGGCAGCTTGGGTAGCCAGGGGCAAGTCCACTGGTCCCTGAGTTGGCACTCCAGAGGGTGAAGGCCAGAGGGGGCCCCGAGCCTCCTGCTCTGGGCTGGCTCGTGGGTAGCCCCACCCTGCTGTGTCCAGCTCCCCAGCCTGCGCTGGAGGAGGCTCCAGGGGTCTCAGGGCAGTGAGGCCAGGCAGAGAGTGGGGGACGCTGGGGCTTTTCCTGCAGGAGCCTGGCCTCCCAGGCAGGGCGTGGAGGGTCCCAGGGTCAGTGCTGGGCAGGCAGGGGCAAAGGGCCTGTCTCCCCTCCCCACTCCCTCTCCTTGGCCCAGCTCCTATGCTGGTCCGGCTTTTGAGGGGCAGAGGGGTATGATGACAGCTGCTCTGATAGGGCCCCTCGGTCCCCAGCCAGTGGTAGGGCCCTCATCTAAGCCCTTTGGGTAGCCATGGGACCAGGGTGAGGGGAACCCTGGGTGAGGAGGAGTCCGTGATGATAGTCGTGATGATGCTGATGTTAGTGCCAGCTCACCGTTCAGCACCAGCTTCATGGCCAGCCCTGGGCCTACCTGTACTGTAATCCCGGACCTCTTTCTGCAGACAAGGCCCCAAGAGGTAGCAGGGCCTCCCTGTGCCTGGGGAGCCTCACCCTGCTGTGAGCCAGGAGCCGAGGAGGAGCCAGAGCCTCGGAGGCCTGCCCACCAGCTGCCTGCCTCCTGGGCCTCCCCCCTCCCCACACACACACCAAATGGCAGTGGCTTCTTGGCCCCCACCCAGAGGTGAGGGGGTTGCCCCAAAAAACTTGGAGCTGCCCACACCCTCACACCCCAGGGACACCCAGTGCAGCTGGACAGGCCTCTCAGGCTTCTCTCCTGGCCGGGAGCCTGGAAGCTGGGAGGCTTGCCCAAGGCCACCCAGGTGGCCGTCAGCTTAGGGTGCTGGGCTGGACGGGGGGCCCCCGGGTGTGGAAGACCAGCTCCCAGAGCTGTACTGGAGTATGTGCATATGTGTGTGTGAGCCCTGTAGGGGTGTGTGTGAGCCCTGTAGGGGTGTGTGTGTGTATGTATGAGCCTCGAGTGTGTGTGTGTGTGAGCCCCGTGTGTGTGTATGAGCCTCAAATGTGTTTGTGCACCCCATGTGCGTGTCCACTCGTGTCTCTCCATATATCTCTGTGTTTCTGTGGTCTCCCAGCTCTGTGTATCTCTCTGTCTCTCCTGCGTGAGGCTGCGTGTACGGATCCCGGCATCCCTGTCTGTGTGTCTCAGGCTGCATGTGCCGGGGTGTGTGTCTGCAGCGACTGAGCTGTAAGCAGGTGTCTGTTTTAACTGAAGGCAGTGGACAGACCCGGGAAGTATTACAAGGCCGCTGGTGCCAGGCCCTTGCTGTGTACCACGCACCCCATCCTCACTCAGACGTCCGGTGAGGTTAGGTGACCTGCTCAAGGCCACATGCCCGGGAAGCGTGGGTCCATTCAATGTGGGCATCTGCTGTCCTTCTTCAAGTCATGGCCACCAAGGTCCCAGATGAGGCTCCCTGTTCATGACTGTCCTGCCTCTATTTATGGGGGAAACCCAGGGCCCAGGAAGGCGGAGTCTCCAGCGTGGAGGAGGTGCTGGTACCCCTGAGACCCAGCTGGGGTCCTCGTGAATGTGGAGTGAGCAGGTGCCAGCAGCAGGAACCAGGGCCTCCTCCCTGACCTCACCACACTCGGACGCCTCTCCCGCCTTTGATTAGGCCGGCCCTCACCCTCCTCCGTCCCTCTAGGGACACTTTCCTCCCGGTGTCAGAGCTGGCTGACTGAGCAGTGTGGGAACTCCAGGCAGGCGGGGGAGCACGTGGGGGGAGGGGGTGCTGTGCACACAGAACCAGGCGAGCGGTCACTGCCAGGCCAGTGGTCGTCCTCCCCTGGGAAGTGGGACCCTGGCTTCCCCTGAGCATGCTGCGGCGTCAGGGGGGCTGGAGAGGCCTGGCTCAGGGCTGGCCCCACGGATGTGCAGCAAGTGTGCGCCCCCCTCGCCCTGTTCCCCTTCAAGCAACCCCAACTCCTGCCAACTGCCAAGGCCACACAAGTAGCCACCTGCCCCTCTCACCGTATCTCCCACCCCTGTCCGCACGCATCATCACACACACAACATCACACAAGTGCTCACCGGCACACGCACATTTACACACGTTTGTCCATTCCCAGGGCGCCCTGAGCTCTTTCCTCAGGGAGGTCTCCCTGGCCACCACCACTTGCCCCCCGCCACTCTGCCCTGTGCTTCCTCCAGCACCCCCACGAAACTGTGGGCCCCTCGAGGCTGAGCCTACGTCTCACTCAGGCCCCGGCAGCAGCGGCCCGTCGTGGGTGCCCACTGAGTAGTTGAAAATGTCATCAGACACTTGTTGTGTGTCCCTGGGGGCCAGTCGGCATCGTGCCAGGTCTCAGTGTCCACGACAAGGACACAAATTGCTCCCTGGAGAGTCAGAGCCACAGCACGAGCTTGCAGGAGCCAGCGAGCACACGTGCATATGTACACACCACAAGCACACGCATGCCCCCCCCCACATACCTGCTCCTACACACGCGTATACCTGTTCACGTGGGAGCACACACACGCCCCCGGGTGAGCATTTACATGCTCCCCTGCACGTGCATATACATGCTCATGGGGAATGTGCACACTCACACACACTCCCCTACGCACATGTACATGCTCCCGTGCATGGGGTGCACACTCACACATGTCACACACTCACCTGTACAAACTCACACCCACACTCACACATGTCACACACACATGCTCACTTGTACAAACTCACACCCACACTCACACATGTGCACACACACATTCTCACAAGCGCACACCCTTTCCCATGCATGTGCCCACCCCCACTCACACATGCACACACCCACACGCATCATCACACACGTGTTCACTGGCACACACACATTTACACACGTTTGCACACACACATGCAGTGGGCCCATAGCTGTGGCAATGACCTCAGGAGGAAAGGAATCAAGTTGTTTTTTCCCCAATGCATGTCCCCACAATAAAGGAAACAGGAAGGGACTTGGGGCCAGGGACAGGAAGGGGAAGTGGCCTGCGCACAGGGAGCCGGCTCCAGCCGGGTGGACGATGGGCTGCAGCTTGGGTGAGACTCAGAGACAGACAGACAGACAGACGGCTGCAGGGTGGGGAGGTAGAACGGCCCTCTGAGGCATCTTGGCCCTGGAGCTGATCCTCACCACAGCCCCTGCAGGGGCCACCACTCCTGTTTCCAGGGGAGAAACTGAGGCTGGGGTCAGCTTATCCTAGTCACCGAGGAGGACTGGCAGAGCTGGCATTGGCCCCAGGCACCTCTGACCGTGCTCCTCCAGGCCCTGGTCCTGCAGCCCATCCGCAGTGGCCAAGGCGAGCGCCTCTGTCTGGGATGCCAGGTGGCTTGGTGGGGCTCTTCTGCAGCCCTGCTGTCCAGCACTGGGCACACCCTGGTACCCCGGACTGGACTCTGGTGAGTTCCACGGTGTGCTCCTCTGTCAATCCAGCCCATCCCAGGGAGCCCAGCGTGTGCACTGCAGGAGACAATACTCGAGACGGGGCCACAGGCCCCATGGGAGCGTGCATACCTGATGGCAGGGACTCTGTGGGTTCCTCCTGCACCAGAGCCTGGCCCAGGGCCGGGTACACAGAGAGGGGACACAACCTCCCCAAGGCCACACAGCGAGGCAGGTCTGACCTCACCCATGCCCTCCTCTGCGGCTCCACGGGGAGAACGGAGTCCGAGGGGAGGGCTGGGCAGGTGGGCTCCCGGGTGCCCTTTCCTCCCTGGGGGTACAGCTGCCACCTACAGAGACTGCTGCGCTGCTGCGGCGTTGCCTCAGTTAATCCTCGAACCCAGCGGGTGACATCCTCCCACTGTGCAGGTGAAGAGGGCCCGAAGAGCAGCTCGCTGCTTCTCTCCTTGCTGACCTTGCTCACTTAAAATAAAAATCTCAGTTAGGAGGGACCCAGGAGGACCAGCAGTCCTGGTACCGAGAGATCCAAGGATGCATGAGGCCTTTCAGGGCTAAAACAGGGAAAGGTCCAGGGAGACCAGCTCAAGTTGGTCACCCTAGGGGGACCTCAAAGCCATTTCATCTAACCCCACCTGATGCTTGAACTTCTTCCACTGTTCTCGCCCCATGGTTGTCCAGCCCTGCTTACACACCTCCAGTGATGGTGAGCTCATTATCACACAGAACAGCAACAGCCAGCCCAAAGGTGGACAGAGCCAGGACCAGGCACTGACCACAGGGAGGTCAGAGTTTGCGGAGTGGAGCACAGGGGCCCCTGGCCCGCCTTCAGGGGCAGTCAGACAAGGCTTCTGAGAGGAAGAGGAGGGGGAGGAGGACAGGGAATTCCTGACCAAGGGAACAGCACAGGCAAAGGCCAGGAGTCCTGGAACCACCTCATGGGGATTGAGTTCCTTTGCTGTTCTCTCTGACAGCTGATGTGACTCCGTGGTCCTCCCCACACCCCTTCTCCAGAAGGGAGTGCCATTGGAAGCATGATCGCCTGGCGCCTCCTGCCTTCACTCCCCAGGTTTCTGAGCTGAGAGAGGCCTCAATGCCGATGGAAGAGCTGCTGGATACCTCAGAATGCTATTCCATCCCCTTCTCATTGAGCCTCATGGACCCTGCAGCACCAGCACCTGCCCCCTCCTCCAGGAAGTCTCCCTGACTTCCTCAGCCCTAGATGCCTCCCCTACCACAAGCATCAACCCTCCTCTCTCCTCAGGATCACCACCACCTCCAGCCCCTGCCAGGGACCCCTGCCACTCTCCAGTCGAGCTTTCCCACCTCTGACTTTTCTTGCTGGTCTCTCTTCTGGAATGCCCTCTCTTCCCCTGAAAAAAAACTTCCTTGTCCCTCAAAGATGTAACTCAAATGCCAGCTCTTCCAGGAAGCCCTCCCGAATCTCTCTGATTGCGGTTGATAACCAGCCTCCCTGCCTTCTCTTTAAGCCACTTCACTCCCTCTGTGCTCTGCACGCAGAACTGGGGAGACCTCAGGCCCTGGGGGCCCCAGTGGAGCCCAGCCCTGGGGTGATGCCTCTGGGAACTCAGCCTAGAGCTCTCCACGTGCCTCATTACCCAGCCCTTGTGGGGACCCAGGAGAGGCAGTGGGTTGGCTTTTAGGCCAGCACACAGCAAGTGCATACTAAGTACTTGCTGAGGTGTGTTCTCTTGACCAATATTTCCTGAGCACCCACTCTGTGCCAGACACAGAGTCACATGGCTGCCCCCGGGGTCCATCTCCCTCCCCCCTCAGCCCCCCAACACACATGGAGCAGTCAGCACCCGGGAGGTACCCAGAAGTGCTGACTGCTCTGGGTCTGCCAATCGGTCAAAGGCCAGGGCTGTGCCCGCCTGTAGCCTGGGAGACGGACAGTGGATCCGGAGCGAGCTCCTGTCACGCCCCTCACTGGCCGGATGGCCTCTGGTGGGTCACTTAACCCCATCTGTGACATTGAGATGATGGTCGTGGCTGCTCCGGAGAGCCGAGCGGGATGACAAGCATGGCAGCCCTCAGCACGGCCCCGGCACCCAGCACGCACTCCATGGCGGTATCACTTGGGGTCACTCTTCTCTAAGCCCAGAAACGCCCCTGCCTGGCTGGGTGGAGCCACCCCCCGGGGGAGAGCGTGCAGGCACTCTGGGGTCCCCAGGGCTGGGGCTGGGGTCTCGGGACTGACCAAGCACCCAGGGGTGCAGCGGTTTCTCAGGCAACATTCTGAGGCTGCCTGGGAGAGGCCCGGGTGGGGAGGGCAGTGCCCAGATTTATCCACCAATAGCACGGGCTCCTGGCGCTGGAGAGGTTCTTATCTGCCCAGCCCAGCATGGGGGGGTGGCCGGGCGGGCTGGGGCGGGACGCTGCCTGGGGACTGGACGCGGAGCAGGGCCGGCAGCCCCAAGCCCCACCAAGTGGGAGACGGCCGCTGAGGGCTCTGAGCGTCCGTGCAGGCCGGTGGCCGGCTGCCTGCCCATCTCTTGCACCATGTCGGACGGCGAGGGCCCCTCGGCTGGTGAGTGGCAGCGCTATATTTACCCCCAGGGCTCTGGTTGCAGAGCCAAGGCCACTGGTCGCTGAGGGCACTGGGCCCCCCCGCAGGCTGCAGGCAGCTGTGGGGCTGGACCCCCTTCCTCCTAGCCTGATGCCTGGGGGCCTGTGCTCCTGGAGCAGGGAGCTTGACTTTCAAAGCTAAGTTCTGCCGCACCCCCCTGGCTTCCCGAAGGATGAGGCCAGAGCAGGAAGCCGTGCCTGCTGCAAACCCTCCGGCTGTCAGCCAGGGTATCCGGAGTTGACCCACATTGCAGCAGGGGCCTAGACTGCAGCTGGACCCCTGGGTGGGCTCGGGGTGCCACAGGCCCCTGGAACTGCGTGCAAATAAATGTGCATGGACATTTGCCTGGAGGCACGGGGGAGCCCACAGCTTCCGCCAGATTCCCCAAAGATCTGAGACCTCCGAGAAGTTTTGAGCCCCTGTCTGCCAGCACAAGGCAGGCTTTCCATGGGCCCCAAAATCCTCTAGGTTGGAAATGGCTGGCAACACAGGCAGGTGGGGGGATACCAGATACTGGGGTCTGCACACACGCCCTCTGCCCTGCCCAGGGCGAGGGGCTGTGATGGGGACTGGCTGCCGTGTCCCTGGCTGGCTGCCCCTGGCTCCTTTCAGTTGAAGACAAGCTCTGATGTGGACGTCCCCCCAAACCAGCCTTGAGTGGGCAAGGACTGGAGACAGCCTAATGCAGGGGGTACGTCGGGGACTCTGGAGTCAGGCTGCCCAGGTTCAAATCCCAATTCTTTCACCTCCAGACTGGGTGACCTTGGGCAAGTGGCTTATCTGCTCTGAGCCTCAGTGTCCCCAGGTGATTAAAGAGACAATGTTAAGGGTACCTAGTCCACAGGTGGTTGTGAAGATTAAGGTGATAATGTGTGAAAGCCTCTGTCGGTGCCTGGTGTGTAGTGAGCACTGAGTGGCGCCTTCTTGGAAGCAGCAGGTGGGGGGTCCTAGGCAGGAGCTCAGAGGCGCTGGGGCCTGTGCATCCTGGTCTGGCCCCTCCCGCCGGGCCTCCTTGCCTAAGTCACTGCACGTCTGTGACCCGTGGATTCCTTATCCGTCAAACACCGCCAGGGAGAATCTCAGGCATGACAAGCTGTCCCCGGGGGCCCTGGGATGGGTTGTGGGCAACAGCGGTGCGGCCCCACCCTGCGTGGTGTCTGATGGACAGTTCTAGTGCCTGGGCCAGGCCGAGTCAGATTTGGAACAGAGAGTGTGTGTGTGTGTTGGGGAGGGGGACACCGATGAAACTGGCCTGACCTCACCCTCTTCCGCCGGGCGCCAGTCGTGCTGGCTGCCAGGAATTGTCCACCGTGGCTCTGAAGGCCAAGGAGCCAGTATGGGGGCGGGGGGCGGCAGACAGGCCCTTTCTGGCTGGCTCTGGACACACCTGACACAAACCCGGAATAGCTCTCTCCCTCCACCAGAGACACGGCCCTGCTTTTAGCAGCTTGTAAAATCACCCTGGAGGAGTTGGGTATTTCAGGAAGGCCGGGACAATATTTAGCCTGTCGGGGCAATGGAATGGGTGCTGAGTGTGTGTGTGTGTGTGTGTGCGCGCGTGTGTATGCCCAGGAGGCCAGGAGAAGACATGGCCTTCACTGCCTCTCACCATCTAGGAGAGGGCCAGCTGGGTTGGGGGCCAGTGGGCCCATCCTGGCTTTGCCCACCCTGGCTTGGCAGATGGCCCTGGGCAAGCTTGGGGCTTGGCTTCCCACCTATAAGATACTGCAGGATGGCCTTTGGTCTCTGATGTGCTGGGCTTGCGATGGAACCCCATTGGCAGGAGTAAAGACTGTGCCTGGGTGCAGGGGTATATGTTTGCTTATGGGGGAGTCTCCTAGAGTGTACTGTCTGAAGTTCAAGTCTTTCTGGGATTCCTACCCCGCAGCAGCCATTGGGCCCAGGAAGGGCCCCATGTGAAATATTTCTGTTTTCAGTAACAATACCTGGGCCTGTGTCGACAGCAGGAAAATTTGAGCTCTCCACTCATGACCTGTGTGACCTTGGGTAGATTACTCAAGGGCACCGTGCCTCAGTTTCCTCATCCATTAAATGGGGACAATATAGGACATTAGCTCCTCAAGTTCCAGTGAGCATTAAGTGACCGAAAGTAAGTAACGCACTTAAAATAATGCCAGGCTTATTGTTAGCAGTTGTAGCTGCTGTTATAATTATTCGACCAATAAATGAGCTTCAACCCAAAGAGGAAAATGAAGGGACCAAATTATCTGCTGTGTCCTGTGTCCTGGCCATTTGGGACACATTGTCTGTTTAATCCCTGGAGGGGGTGGCATGAACTCCACTGTATAGCTAAGGAAATGGAAGCTCAGAGAGGCACACAGGCTTGCCCAAGGTTACCCAGCAGCTACATGGTAGAGCTGGGATTCGAACCCAGCTCTCTGGACCCTGTTTGCACAGAACCCACATTACATCCCCCTTTCAGGAAGTCGCCCCCTGCTCAGCCCAGGGAGCAGCTGTCTTGCAGGCCTTTTTGGGTCTCTTCTGAGCAACAGCCCTTCTCATTGTGAAGACGGCTAGCTCAATATTGCCTCCAATAATTTGGAACCTGTTAAAAAAAATGTGGTACCTTGTTAGGGTGTCAGAAAAATTCCGCAGAGCAGGAGGACCGTGGCAGGCGGTTGCCTCCAGGATTTATGGCCCCATGCCTGGGCAGGGGAGCCTAGAGGCTAAGGTTACCGGGAGTCAGCATTGTATTTATAGCAGGAGCTTGTCTGCACCGAGGACGGCCAGCCCGAGCACCACATCCAGCGACGGTGCCTCCTTTACAGTCGCCTGGATTCCAGGCCTGGCTCTTCCCCTCTCTTCCCTACTGAGGCTCAGTTTCCTCACCTGTAAGATGTGGCCTTGCCTCGTCCCTCCCTGGGCCCAAGACAGTGTCTGTAAGTGCTGGCACAGACCTAGATAGAGGAGCCCAGAAGGTGCTGGTTCCACACATCCTGGGTCTGTCAATTGTCTTTTCCTGCCTTTGACCTTGTGGTCTACCCCGCCCCCCTCTTGGCGGAACTCTGCAGGAAGATAATCCAGCCTCTGTGCTGTCAGTTCCCTCCATGTTTGGGAATGTTTCCAGCTAAGCAGTTTTACAATTCCAAGCACCAAAGAATAGGCTGTTGTACTCTCAGCAGACCACCGAATGCAGGTCCGTCAGAGCGCTGGGTTTGAATCCCCGTTCTACCATTCCCTGGCTCTGTGACCCTGGGGGGGGCGCTTAACCTCCCTGAGCCTCAGTGAGGGGTGGACATTTGCCTTGCCTCAGAGGGTGTGGTGAGGATGGACAGCCCTAACCTGAGTAAGTGCTCAGCCAGCAGAGCGACCGTCTTTCTCCTTCTGTATAATCTCCCGCCAATCCCACTGTGCTCCCGGGCCACAGTCACCCCGTTTGTACATTGCCCTGAGTTCTGGAGCCCCCGGGGGACCCTGCAGCCTTGGAGTGTCCTCCCCTCCAATATCTGCTCCTCTTGTTCGGTAATAGCGTTGAACGGTGCCAACCTAGACACCCCATCTTGCTCACAGGATGCTGATGTTGGGAGATGTGTTTGGGTGGGGTCTATTGCTGTGTGACCTGGGACAAGCCTCCTTCCCTTGCTGGCCTGGAGAGGTTATTTGCATCTATTAGCAATGACTCCTATAGGCAAGCACTCGGCTCACACACGTGTCCCGTGTTCCCACCCCAGGCAGGGCTCAGGACCACCTGCTTTACGCTGGCTCTCGTCACAGCCCGTGAGCCTCCAAGCAGCAAATGAACAAATCCATGCTCCAGTGTCTGAAGTCCCCTCAGGGGCTTTTATATTTATGACAAGAAATACAGGTTAGAAGCAGTTGGGAATTCAACTTGGAAACAAAAGTTACCCACTTCTGTTCTTTTGAAGTATTGGGTCCATTCTAATTGAGCATTCTTGAGATAGCAAGCTAGGTTTTATATATTTGTTAATTATATTTTAAAAATGAAACAAAGCTGCTAGTGTTTGCAACCACTTATCTGTTTTTTCTTGAAACTGTGTAGTCAAAATAAAATACAGAAACTGGTGGCTGAGACAGGTCACAGATAGCCGTTGTCATCTGTAACTGCTGATTTCAAATTTTTGCATTCATCAGAACCACCCCTTTGTTTTCTACTGACTCTGTCACTCCGGACCAGCTCAGTGTGCTGTGGAAAAAACAAATCCCTGTGACTTAAAGCGACAAAGGTGTATTTCTTGCTCATGCAAAATCCATTGTGGGTCTCGGTGACTCTGAGGGCAGGTCGCCTACATAGTAGTTCAGTGTGATGCCTCCATATGGACCCAACCTTCTGCAGTCACGAGGCAGAGGAGGCCACACTGGCAATTAAATGCTCCCACCCCAAAGTGACCAATATTGCCAGTACTGGCATTTCATTGGCTCCCGCGAGTCACATGGCCACACCTAATGGCAGAGGGCTGGGTACAGCCAGCCATTAGTGAACAGTAGTAATATTGGCCCCCCGTTGACTTTTTTTTCCCATTTGGCTTTTTTTTTTTTTTAAGTAATCCATTTTAATTATGATGTTCGGAGCATATCGTGTGAGCTGTGGTCGGTAGGTGTCTGAAACTCGGTTCAAGAGTCGTTCCAATATGCAAATCACAAAGAAAGGGGCAAGATCTTTCAAAATGTGCTCTCTCCCGCAGACTGGAATTTGCATTTAAAAGCACAAAAACTAATTTCTGAAAGATTTGGTCACAACACTAGCAAGGAAAAGCATAACCAAGAGAAACATTGGCTGGCTGTTAATTGCCTAAAAGCTCTATCGATTTATTATTTGCTAAGGCAAAGAGGGAGTTGGGATGGATAGTTCATGAGCCCGTTTAATCAACGAAGTCAACAGATAAAAAAATGGGGTATGAGTTTAGAAGACAATAATTATAGAAGAAGATTGGAAAATGAAAACTACAAAGAGTCAGCTTCATCACGCTAATATAGACGCT